GCACCACGCCCGATCGTCGCCAACACCTCCTAATTATTTCCCTCCCCATGGTACTCCACACACCGCAAATCCACGTAATTGCAAGCCGCAACTCCAGCCGAAGCGCCTTACGTTGTTCTTGATCACGAGTCCGCTCGAACTCGTCGATCAACCACGCGACCATGAGTTTGCGATAACGCAACTTCAACGTTGCGATGACGCCTTGGTCCAACGGTTGAACGTGCGAGGTGCAGTTGGGGGGGAGATAAAACACCCGAACGTTTGGAAGCTCAACAATCCGGATGCCGTCGCGCCAATATTCGCGCATCGGCTCGACCCTCCGCTCGATCATGTTGTGCGAGCTAGCGTTGTCCACAAGGATCGCAATCTTGCGGTCCTTGAGTTTCATGTCGCCGTCCACCGCGTCCACCCATTGAGTGAAGATCTAAGTACAAATTCGTAAAACATGTCGAGGTTAGAGAGTGTCTCATTAATTGTGCCACCATGTTTGCAAAGCATGTTGCAATGTACGATGACATGAAAACCATAAACCAAGCTTACCTCCGATGTCATCCAAGCCCGCTTGTTAGCACGGTACCACGCGTAGTCGTCAACATGGAAGTCATCCCGAAATGAGGTCGGCCGCAAGGTCTTGCCGATCACAATCGGCTTCATCAAGTCCGTCCCGTCGGCATTGCAACACAATGCGAGCGTGAAACGCTCCTTGTGAAGCTTTCCTCCCGCCACCGTCTCATTCGCGTACGTTCGGCGTGGTTGTTGGCCTGAGATGAATCCGGTTTCGTCCATATTGTAAACGTTCGCGGGTTCGTAACCGAAGTCCTTCAAAAGTTTTGGAATGGCCTCCCTCGCTAGGCTTATGGATTGGGCATTGGCGTCCTTGGCCTCGCCTTTCCGCTGACTCACGAGCTGGTGCACGCGCCTGGTCGAGTTTCGCCGCCCAGGCCCCATTTGCCCTCAGGTAAGGACAAAGGGTGTGAAGTTTGGGGGTGTGGAAATAGCGGAGGATAGGTGTAGTCTCCTGTCATCCGCTTTCTCGAAGCACGCCAATCTGTCTGGAGAGGCCGTCGTTTGACAGGCTTTGTGCTTGTTGCCAACAGTTTTCCACAGCTCGCCTTGGATGGTCTGACTCAGGACGACAGCAAGTCGTCACCTATTCGCCTTTCGTCGCGCTTTGAACGTTGTTTCCACTCATCATCTCCTCCCGGCATTTCGATCCCGCCATCCCTTCGTATTGGAAACCCTAACCACCACGCCAACCTGCTATCAAAGCAGATAATAAAAATATTACCAGCCTATTGCCGCGGACATGTCTGGGACCCGGGCGATCTACTATCGCCGGGTCGCCGTTCTCTTAGGAGCAGCCACCGCAGCAGGCGGCGGGATATACATAGCCTATAAAGTCTCCAACTCCGAGTATTACCGCCGCCAGCGGCAACGTGTGCGCGACGCATGGATCCTCTTCTCGCGGTTATACAACGCAGTCTTCGCCGCCTCTGAGCTGTCCACCACTGTACTGACAGACGTTCGAGCGTTTATCGAGTCAGATTCAGACGAGGTTCCGCGAAGCGTACGGCAGATCCTGAAGCTGTCCAGCTCCGAGGAGTTTCAACGGGCCGTCGTACGTACGACGTACTCCGTCACAGAAGGTGTTCTCCATGGCGTGTGCCTGTCGTCAGCCTGGAACGGTCCAGATGAAACGGCGTGCCCTGCTCAATGCACCAATGGCGCTGCAGCATCTTCCGAAATCAGCGGGATGCGGGTTAGACGGATGGGATTGGTGGAGTCAGTTTTGGATAAGCTCTTCACGGACGAAGGTCGATCGTTCGCATCTGCGGTGGTAGGAAAGGCGATGCGGAGTTTAGTGGTCTCGCTAGTAGACAAACTAAGTAGCCCTCCGGGTGGAGTCTCCGCGTCTGGCGGCGCAACAGGCGCCTCTTCCGCGGCTGGGTCGAGGCAGGCGCTGACAGGATGGGAGTTGATACTGGTTGAGTTGGCTACTAACGAGAAGGGGAAGGCTCTGTTGACGGATATCGTCGCGACATTCGCTGTGAACGCCGTCGGGACGTTTATTGAGAAGACGAGAAACGTCAACGTTTACCATGACATCCTCGCAGCCGTGAGTCGGCATCAAGAGCTTGTGAAGGATGTCGGAGCACACATTCTAACGAGGACAGCAGAGACGACAGTTGCTACTGCAATGGCGCCCTTACCGCCTGAACGACCGGCAAGGCAGGGGGGTTCGGCAAGCGCGGGGATGGGAGCAGGGTTTGAGGAAGTGATACAAACGGGGGGCGTTTCCGTCGCGCTATCGACGTCGTCTGACGGCTCGTCGTCGGAAGCTCCGTCTCCTTCGGAATCGCTGTCTCCGCGTAGCAGGATCTCTCTTGATGGCCAGTTACAAGACGCCATGTGGCAGGGGGTTCCAGACGCAACCATCTCCGCGCCACAGACAGCAGCAGTTGCAGCAGCAGCAGCCGCAGCATCTTCCGCGTCTCTTTGCGGCAAGTTAACAACCTTCTTCCGTCGCCTGCCTCCTCCTCCTCCCCCCGCACTTCAAGCGGCGTCCACGTCAGCAAGCGCTGCATTCTCAGGGAGCCAAGCGCTGTCCAGCACGTGGCAGCGTCAGCTGGCTGGCTTTTTGGCAGAGAAAGAGGTTCGGGGACTGGTCGTGGAGGTAGCGGGAGCTGTGTCAGCGAGAGGCATGCGCGCCTTTCTCCTTGTCCTCTTTCATAATCTCCTCTCCAGTCAGTCCTCTAGAGCAGTTAGAGGAAAAGGAGAAGCAGCTGGGTCCTCCATGTTGCAGCATCCGGGGGTTAGGAGCCGAATTCAGGTAGTTTCAGGAGGAGATGAGGGGGAGCAGGGCGGTGATGATGTCACTGCTGATGATGACCTGGCATTAGAGGCGTCTGAGCTGGAACGAGTGGCTGAGGTCTGTGGGCGTCAAGCTAGGGCCAGTGCGGCTCGGGCACTCACGGTAGCATCTTGCTGCCTTGCCCTGGTGATGCATTGTATGATGGGCCTTTCAAGCATGTCTACTTGAGATACGCATTTTGCTCAAATGTCACCTTTTCCTTGATTCAATAATATCACTGAGCAGAGATTTATAAACTGGCTGAGGTACGTAAATGGTACAGCGTTCCACAGTCCTAGTATTCTCTCCTGAGTAGTGTACCCACAACATGCACTTAAAACGCTAGGACTACGAAGTGTTTTAACGGTTAGATACAAAATTATCATCAGTGTCATAATGCATCTACGTAACATTAACGTTCTGGAACATATACGTATAACGAGTTCGACTTTGTGCAGGTCCCGCATTACAATCAATGATGTTGTTCATCCCGTTGTGCTCAAATTCCAGGCCTTGGTTTCCGAGCCTACGTGTGCGCTTCCTACACGTGGCGGCAATGGTTTTTGAATGGCTTGTGAAGGTAGCGTTGCGTGTCGTACTTCGCTGATTGGTTTGGCTGACGGTAAGAATGACGAGGCCCATTGTCAGCAACACCAAGAACCATTTCCCGAACTTCACAGCTGCTGCCCGAGTGTGCGTTTCACCATATTTACATTTTTCACTTTACTGCTGATGTCAAGTTATAAAAATATGGTCGTCGAGAAATTGCTGGAAGCATCCAGTGTGGTGCCCGTAAGCTTCTCTGAAGCAAACTTCAGATGCCCAAATTTTTGGCGCGGATGAACGACGACACGGATGCATTTGGCTTTTGGTATGTTCATCCCAAACCACATGCAAGGTTCGGTTTGCATTTCGCATGAGCTCCTGCAGAGCCGCCTGCCCATGCCTGAAGCATTCCCTGCGATGCCGCCAGCCAGCTGGTCTCCTGCGCCACCTGCGTCAGCTGCGCCAAATTTCACGTCAGTTTGGAGTATGGCTGGCGGGCTGAACTGGGAGCATTTCTGCATCCCTGAAATGCTTCATTTTTCGTGGTTACCGTACTACAGTAAGGGGATGTGTCAGTACTTCGTGCCTAGGCTGAGTCGCATGGGAAATTGGCGGGTGTATTCTGGGATCGCTGAACACAGAAGGGGTTCGTAAATGCAAAGTTTGGGTCCCCACCATTGTCAGAGTGCCTGGCCTGATCACCGACGCTTAGTATGCTTGCCGGTAACAACTGGTGGCAAGGGTATTGCTTCACGAATTTAGGACTTTCAAGGCCCTCAATCACAAATGTTCAGTAGGAATATCAAAATTACAACCCCAAACACAAACGCGTCCGCCATACCATCCGCATATTCCGCAAACCTCAAGGTCCAGCTGGCAGGCCAGACAATTTCCCATAAGCCAGCTTCACCCCCCTGCCCAAGCGCCTGGCTCACACCCAGGCCCTGGTTTCATCCCGCGCATGCAAACCAGACATTCCGGGGCGGGCATCCTGCGCCAACGAGCGCAAACCCCTTCCTTGGTTTGCACGCCACAGTAGGGTTTGCGCGGGGGTAATGGCGCGTGGCGGAAGAAGGAAGTCCGTCCCCCCCCACCCAGAACCCCCCAGGATTTTGCCCCCTGGCTGTCTCTGGCGGCTGTTTCGGGTGGGGTGGGGGTGGGGGATAGCTCAGCTGGGCTGAGCTAGCAGTTTCCCAGCTGAGCTGGCGGAGGGGGAACGCGCAGCAATGGATGGATGCGTTTGGCATTGGGTTTGCTCCGCGAGTGCTTCTTCCTTACCCTTCCGCGGGCACAACTATTTAGTTCTGAATGTAGCGGTCTCACACCTTCTGCTTGAGTGTGCGTCTAGAGCGCCTGAATTAGTTCATTCTTTTTTGAAATAGCGTACCAGAGCCTACGTGTGGTCGAGCACGTGTCCGTTTCTTTGTATAGAAGCTGTTTTTAGGGATTTCATTCCTGCAATGAATCCATGTTTGACGGTAAATTAGCTCCCGTGTACTTTCAACAGGTTAGGGCTTTCACCGTGTTGTTGTCTCTTCTAGTCCACTTTCTAAGAGCCGAAATCTTTGTGGGATTTTTCTCTTTCCTCCGCCGCACTGAGCGGATGGCCGTTAACTCTTGGCAATGGGTTCTTGCGGCTTTTGAGATGTACGACAGCGTGGAGCTTGAAGATGAAGGAATTTTTTCAAGCAGAGGCGAAAGCGCGGACTGGGGTTTGTCAACTTCTCCGAGCCGGTCGATTTCAAGAAACCGCAAGGCAGTTTCACCGTCGAAATCCAAGGCTTCGTCGGACGATTGCAAGACCCTGGAGGTTCTTTTTTCTTCCAGCGAATCGTGCAATGGCAAATGCGAGAAAAAAGATTCGTTGGCGGAGCTGATAGCTACGGAGGAGGTCATTATGAACTTCTTGGAAAGGTCAACCCTCGCCCAAGAACCCAACCAGATTGACGACCCAGTCGCCGTATTTCCACAATGCGTGTGGCCGCTGATTGCTTACCAACAAGCCATGGTTGCAGGGTTCTGGTTGCGAATCTTCAGATTTCTCATTCCTGCAAGAAAGAAGCTCCCGGAGGACCGGATTCGTCCTGCAGACGCAGAGCAACCATCCTGCGACCAACAGGACTTTCCAATAATAAGAGCTTCGGATGCCACGTCAGCTGACGTGAATGCGGACTGCATCGTCTGGAGCGCTCCGCGTGGCGGTGAAACGCCAGTCGCAGCATCGGCAGAAGCAGATTCGGACGACGCGTCGTCAGACCACCTCTTCAACGTTCCGCAGCTGGCGCCGCTGAGTCCCTCCGACGAGCCTTTTGATACATCCAAGTTGCTTCCTCCGCTTCGCTCCGTCCATCTCAACCGCAAGACTCTTGTCCTCGACTTGGACGAAACCCTCATCCATTCCGTCTTCACGCCGATCATGAACGCCGATTTCGTCATCAGCTTGGACGTTGACGGCCGACTGACTACTATTTACGTCCATAAGCGTCCCGGAGTGGAGGAGTTTCTCCGCGCCGTCGCGCAGGTATACGAGGTGGTCGTTTTCACCGCGAGCATGGCGGGTTACGCGAACGCGCTCGTCGATCTGTTAGATCCGCAGCGCTGCCTCGTTCACCACCGTCTTTTCCGGGATTCCTGCATCTGGTGGAGGAACAGCTACGTCAAGGATCTGACGATGCTCGGAAGGGACCTGACTAAGACCATGATAGTTGATAACAGCCCGCTCTCCTACGCGTTTCAGCCGGAGAACGGCATTGCGATACCCTCGTACTACGACGAGCAGGGGGACCGTGAGCTCGCGAAGCTTGTCCCCGTTTTAATGAAGCTCGCTACGGTCGAGGATGACGTTCGGCTCCACCTTGCGGGGCTTGGGAGCGTCCATGTGGGGTGATGATAAAAATCAGCGGATGCTGATACTTGTATTGTGAAAGACACGCCATGTCATGGCACCGCAGCTTACAGCTGCTGTAATCAATAAGGAGCGCCAGCATGCGTGCTGCTATGCTCTCACTCAAGCGCTCTGCTTCCATGTTATACGCTAGTTGCTTCTGTTTCTGTGCTCCTCCCCTCCACCAGTTAAGCCTATCTTTTGTTTCTTCTGCGTGGCAGCATGAGCTCCACTGTGCGTTGGGCTGGTATATGCTCTCATATATGACTCTGTCGTTCTAGATATTTGTGCAACCCTTTTCTCTCGCTTACTTCCTTGAATGTGGAAGCTTACTACCGGTATGCAGTGCAGGCGGAGGGTAGAACAATGATTGTCTGCTGTATTCCTTTCTTTGTAACAATGGAAAAATGCTACCGACTGTGGTGCTCTCCTTTTCTTAGGGCGCCTCTTATCAGACACCACCTCATGTCAAACTTGTGATGTTCAATGCCTTACAGTGAGGGCTTGCTCAAAAAAAGAATTAACAAAAAACAGAATTTCAGCAAAAACAGAATTTCCGCAGTTATGCATTTGACTGCAGCACAATGTAGAGTGGCATTAACAAACTCAAATGGTACAGTCAGTTGATAGTTGGTTCTTCAGTTGTCACTGCATTACCGTTTTGCCACTGCAAGTTACTTCTGAAAAGGATTCGGTGCTGCGGCTGACCCTGAAGGCTTTCCAAAAGTTGCCTTAGTGCCAGTAGGTTTTGCAAAGTTGAATGGCGGAGGGGAGAGAAAGGGAGAAGGCTGTCCAGCAGCACCAGCAGCACTAGCAGCAGCAGAGGAGTCGGGACCCTTAAGGGAGAAAGGACTGGAAGGAGTGGCAGATGCGAAAGCGAAAGCTGGTGCTGATGATCCAAAAGCTGGCGCTGATGATCCAAAAGCTGGCGCTGACGATCCAAAAACTGGCGCTGACGATGCGAATGCTGACGCTGATGTCGCAAATGCTGGCGCTGACGATGCGAATGCTGGTGCAAATGCAGACTGGCTTGCAGGTGCTGCTGTTGCTGCAGATTTCACCTCAGGAAAGGGCCTGTAACCAGCACCAGGAAAAAAATTAAGGGATTTTTTTGAAGCCCCATACAAAGAGAATTACCGTACAATGCTGAAACGAGAGAAGAGGACATGAAGGAATGGAAAGGAGCTGTTGTTGATTTACCTCTACGAAGAAAACCGATTGGTAACTATGGCGTGAAGGGTGCTAGTCACCCACTAATATCTCTGCTCTTGACAGCAACAGCAGCCTTCAATAAGCTTTCAGGATAACACTGCCATCTGCTCACCTGAACACACCATCAGTCCTTGGAAACTGCAGCAGGCTCGTTGCTACTGCCCTAAGGGGGTGTCCAGCTCGTACATTTACTGTTCGTAAACCCCATCAGTTACCACATTTTGTGTGGTAACCCTGTATTGAACGTGTCCAGCGGACACAATCAGCATTCGTTCACAAGACGGCACGCCCCCTGCACGTACCTAGAGTCGTCTGACTCACGTTACTGGAATCAGCAGGGACGCGAACAAGGGTACAGCGCCGCGTCCTGGCCAATACATTTCGTGCCCCTTGTATCGTTTGCACGATTTCGTCAGTGTTTCGCTTTACTCGCCAACGCCCCCTGCGCCTGCACAAAAATTCTCAAACTATGATTGACGAGGGAAACTGTTACCTCGTTTTCAGCGTGGTCAGAGCACTGTTGATTCGTGTGGCGGGGAATGTGTCCACGCTTCTGAAATTACTGGATGGTTGGACTCCACTCACAATGTATTCGTTTCTAGGTACGGTGGTCATTTTTGAACCTCGATACGTGTGTTGGCACGAAAAATCCCGAAATGAACGAACTGGACACGCCCTAAGGAACATCACTAGAGCACTCAGGGTCTGGTAACCGGGTAACAATGCCATGTGCTCACCTGGACACACCAACCGAGTCCTTGACTGCAGCAGGCTCGTTGCTGCTGGTGCTGGTGCTGGTGCTGGTGCTGGTGCTGCAGCAGGCTCGTTGTCCTAGGGAACATCACTACACTACAGCACTCAGGGTCTGGTAACCGAGTAACCCTGCATAGTGCTCACCTGAACACACCAACCGAGTCCTTGAAAGCTGCAGCAGGCTCGTTGCTGCTGCTGCTGCTGGTGGTGAAATGCCCCACGCCCTTGGGTTTACCAAACGGAGGCACCCCACCTCCCCCGAACAAAGCGCTTCCTCCTGATTGGCCACCTCCTCCGAACAAACTGCTTCCCGAACCAAACAATGGGGCTGCCGAACCAGCAGGACCGGCAGCAGCAGCACCAGAAGTTGTTGCAACAGCAGTAGAACCACCAGCAGCAGCAGCAGCAGCACTTGGGCCCTTATCACCACCAGCACCACTCAATCCTCCCAGTGTCCCACCCCGAACATTCTCCTGTGACTGTGTGGTATCTGGCTCTGATCCGTCCTGGGACACCCGCATGCCAAACAGGGGGTTCTGATGCAACACCTGCGCATTTTCCAGGGGTACTGGCGCTGTTGCCCCTCTTGCTAAGGGCGCTGGGCCGGCGCCTACGGGTCCTTGCTGGCCGAACTGCCCGGATCCGAAAAGTTTGCGCTGGAGCGGGAACTCTGATTGGCTGGGAGCAGTGGGGGCAGTTGAAGTGACAGGAGGAGGGGAGGCAGGAGCTGAGGGAAAAGAGAAGAGTGACAGTGGCTGCTGCTGCTGCTGTTGAGGTTTGCAAGAGGATTTCAGGAATGAGAGGGGCGAACCTGAGAGGGATGCTGCACCTCCACCACCCCCAAGGATGGGAGAGCCAAAGTGGGGAGCGGGAGCAGCAGCTTTGGGAGAGGAGGCCTTGGCAGCGGCGGACTGAACTGACTGCATGGGCTTGCGTGGGAGGGCTGTGGCGGAAGGAACTTTGGTGATTGCCTTGGGGAGGCTCTTGGTGTCTGGTTTGACCGGTCCTGTTCTGACTGGGATGGCTGTGGTGGTTGTGGTGGGGAAGGCAGAGGGTTCGCCGTGTGCTTGAACGATCTGCTGGCGTTCAGAAGGAGCGATGAGTTGAAGCACTGACTCCTGGGAATCGGGGGAAGGCATGGGTGGGGGAGGGAGGGAAAGGGGTTGGGCGACTGGACTGACTGCATCAGATGGGCTTGCGTAGCAAGGCTGTGGCGGAAGGAACTTTGGTGATTGCCTTGGGGTGACTCTTGGTGTCTGGTCCAATTTTGGTGGTTGCGGTGGGGAAGGTGGATGGTTCGCCGTGTGCTTGATCGATCTGCTGGCGTTCAGAAGGAGCGATGAGTTGAAGCACTGACTCCTGGCGGGAGAAAGGGGAATGGGGGGGGGGGGGGGGATTGGTGGTGATGGTGGGGGGGAAAGCAGAGGGCTCGCCGTGCGCTCGGATGATCTGCTGGCGCTCAAAAGGAGCGATGAGTTGAAGCACTGAGTCACTGACTCCTGTGAAAGGGAAGATGGGGCAAAAGTAAGGGGGAGAAAGGGGGAAAGCGTGGGATGGCTGTGGTGGGGTGGGGAAGGCAGAGGGCCCACCCCACCACAGCCATCCCACGCTGGGCTCACGGTGTGCTTGGACGACTTGCTGGTGCTCAAAAGGGAGCAGTCAGTTAAGGGCACAAGCTAAGAACCGTTACTAACCGCTCTCTCTTCTGTTTTTTTCTTGTTTTTATTTTAATGACAGACACGTACCAGCAGACTTATCCTCTTTCCGCACAGCTGAACCGTCAATGTGAAATTAAAGCGCTTTAAAGACGTCTCAAAAAAAAAATCTGAGACGTCGTATAAACCAATATATCTGCAATACATTCCCCCTTCAACAGACACGTACCAGCAGCCTTATCCTCTTTTCGCGCAGCTGAACTGACAATCCCTTCCCTCCTCTCCTCCGCTTTCTTGCTCCATTCGCTGCATCACCAGCAGCACCACCACCAGCAGCAGCACCACCAGCAGCAGCACCAGCAGCACCAGCACCAGCAGCACCAGCACCAGCTGTAGCATCCATGGGACTTCCTCCTCCTTCTTCCTCCTCTCCATCCTCACTTCCTCCCTCCTGCTGCCCCTCCTCATCCTCGTTATTGGCGTCTTCACTCTCCTGCTCTGCCTCTACTGCTGCCTCTATAGCCCACACTTGCTTGTGCGCCGACAGTGCTGCTTTGAAACGAGCCCTCTGCAAGGGAAGGGGGGCAAAAAAGGTAACGAAATCAGGAATGTAGACAGCGCACCCACCCTAGACTCCACACAGCAGAGTGCCGCATGCCCCCTTTTGAGAATTCTCAAAGGTGACGAAATCAGGAATGTAGACAGCGCACCCTAAACCCTAAACTCCACACAGCAGTGTGACTTTTGAGTCGACTCAGAAGTCACTTCTAAGGTAACGAGATTAGCCACGTGTAAAAAGATGATTTTTGAGACGACTCAAAAATCATCTTTTTACATGTGACTTTTGAGTCGACTCATAAGTCACTTCTAAGGTAACGAAATTAGGAATGTAGACAGCACACCCTAAACCCTAAACTCCACACAGCAGAGTGCCGCATGCCCCCTCGGGTTGGTTTTTGAGAATTCTCAAAAACCAACTCGAGAATTCTCAAAAACCAACTCGAGAATTCTCAAAAACCAACTCGAGAATTCTCAAAAACCAACTCGAGAATTCTCAAAAACCAACTCGAGAATTCTCAAGAACCAACTCGAGAATTCTCAAGAACCAACTCGAGAATTCGCAAGAACCAACTCGAGAATTCTCAAAAACCAACTCGAGAATTCTCAAAAACCAACTCGAGAATTCTCAAAAACCAACTCGAGAATTCTCAAAAACCAACTCGAGAATTCTCAAAAACCAACTCGAGAATTCTCAAAAACCAACTCGAGAATCCTCAAAAACCAGCTCGAGAATTCTCAAAAACCAACTCGAGAATTCTCAAAAACCAACTCGAGAATTCTCAAAAACCAACTCGAGAATTCTCAAGAACCAACTCGAGAATTCTCAATAACCAACTCGAGAATTCTCAAAAACCAACTCGAGAATTCTCAAAAACCAACTCGAGAATTCTCAAAAACCAACTCGAGAATTCTCAAAAACCAACTCGAGAATTCTCAAAAACCAACTCCACACAGCAGAGTGCCGCATGCTCCCTCGGGTTGCTGTGCCGCGCAGGTTAACAGGCAGCAATGCAGCACCGCCCCCTCCCTGCCTCTCTCTCTCCACATAACACCCCGAGAACCCAGACACACAAAAGGTTACCTCCCCTCCCAGACACACAAAAGCTCCCCTCCCCTCCCAGACACACAAAAGCTCCCCTCCCCTCCCAGACACACAAAAGCTCCCCTCCCCTCCCAGACACACAAAAGCTCCCCTCCCCTCCAAGACACACAAAAGCTCCCCTCCCCTCCCAGACACACAAAAGCTCCCCTCCCCTCCCAGACACACAAAAGCTCACCTCCACGTGAAAAAGCACGAGCAGAGTGCCGCATGCCCCCTCAGGCTGCTGTGCTGTGCGGGTCAGCAGGCAGCGCTGCAGCACCGCTCCCTCCCTGCCTCTCCAGGGGAAGGCCAGCACCTCGGGAACTGCCTGGTGCCTCACTGCCAGCCAGAAGAGCTCCGATACAAGCACATCCACTGCTTCTGTATAAGCACTTTTGGCTGCTTCGTTATAAGCACCCTCACCACCAGCAGCATCAGCACCATCAGCGGCAGCATCCGTAGCATCAGCGGAATCAGTAGCGTCAGTGTGTGGGTGCGGGGAGGAGGGGTCGTTGATACTTAGCTGCTTGCAGTAGGCTCTAAGGTACAGAAAAGCCTCTGTTAAGAGCCGATTCTCTATAAGCACTCGCAGTGCAGTCACTGCTTCCTCTAGAGGCACGGCCAGGTCCGGGAAAACGGGGGTTGCCGAGCCTGGGGCGCTGTAGGCTTGGAAGATTGCCGGGCCTGGGCTGCAGGCTCGGAGGATCTGGAGTGCAGGCTCGGGCTTGCCTCGTTCGATCAGGACTCGAGCAATTCGGGGATGGATGGGAGGGGCCGAGGAGGAGGAGGAAGAGGAGGAGGAAGAGGAGGAGGAGGGAGATGAGACGAGGTATCAGTGAGCAAGCCTCCTGCCAGCGGATAAGGAGAGGAGGAAGGGGCGAGGGGAGAAAACAGGAGTATGGGAGAGGAGAGGGAGATGAGAGGAGGTATCAGCGAGCAAGCCTCCTGCAGACAACAATGAGATGAGATGACAAGAGGAGAAAGAAATGGGAGAGATTGGGAGGAATGGAATGGAAAGAAAAAGGGAGGAAGAATGATGATGTGAGGTATCAGGGAACACACCTACTGCAGACAGTGAGAAGACGAGGCGAGAAAGGGTACGTAAGATGAAGAGGCACGTAAGCAAGCAAGCAAGCACCCACTCACTTACACCCCTCACCTTAATGCTGCAGGGTATTTTTGAGAATTCTCAAAAATACTTCCTCACTTACACCCCTCACCTTAATGCTGCAGGGTATTTTTGAGAATTCTCAAAAATACTTCCTCACTTACACCCCTCACCTTAATGCTGCAGGGTATTTTTGAGAATTCTCAAAAATACTTCCTCACTTACACCCCTCACCTTAATGCTGCAGGGTATTTTTGAGAATTCTCAAAAATACTTCCTCACTTCCACCCCTCACCTTAATGCTGCAGGGTATTTTTGAGAATTCTCAAAAATACTTCCTCACTTCCACCCCTCACCTTAATGCTGCAGGGTATTTTTGAGAATTCTCAAAAATACTTCCTCACTTCCACCCCTCACCTTAATGCTGCAGGGTATTTTTGAGAATTCTCAAAAATACTTCCTCACTTCCACCCCTCACCTTAATGCTGCAGGGTATTTTTGAGAATTCTCAAAAATACTTCCTCACTTCCACCCCTCACCTTAATGCTGCAGGGTATTTTTGAGAATTCTCAAAAATACTTCCTCACTTCCACCCCTCACCTTAATGCTGCAGGGTATTTTTGAGAATTCTCAAAAATACTTCCTCACTTCCACCCCTCACCTTAATGCTGCAGGGTATTTTTGAGAATTCTCAAAAATACTTCCTCACTTCCACCCCTCACCTTAATGCTGCAGGGTATTTTTGAGAATTCTCAAAAATACTTCCTCACTTCCACCCCTCACCTTAATGCTGCAAGGTATTTTTGAGAATTCTCAAAAATACTTCCTCACTTCCACCCCTCACCTTAATGCTGCAGGGTATTTTTGAGAATTCTCAAAAATACTTCCTCACTTCCACCCCTCACCTTAATGCTGCAGGGTATTTTTGAGAATTCTCAAAAATACTTCCTCACTTCCACCCCTCACCTTAATGCTGCAGGGTATTTTTGAGAATTCTCAAAAATACTTCCTCACTTCCACCCCTCACCTTAATGCTGCAGGGTATTTTTGAGAATTCTCAAAAATACTTCCTCACTTCCACCCCTCACCTTAATGCTGCAGGGTATTTTTGAGAATTCTCAAAAATACTTCCTCACTTCCACCCCTCACCTTAATGCTGCAGGGTATTTTTGAGAATTCTCAAAAATACTTCCTCACTTCCACCCCTCACCTTAATGCTGCAGGGTATTTTTGAGAATTCTCAAAAATACTTCCTCACTTCCACCCCTCACCTTAATGCTGCAGGGTATTTTTGAGAATTCTCAAAAATACTTCCTCACTTCCACCCCTCACCTTAATGCTGCAGGGTATTTTTGAGAATTCTCAAAAATACTTCCTCACTTCCACCCCTCACCTTAATGCTGCAGGGTATTTTTGAGAATTCTCAAAAATACTTCCTCACTTCCACCCCTCACCTTTCAGACCTCCTCAGTTTGCTCATCCAGCAGCGCCATCACCATCGTCTCCACCACGGGCCCATCACCCACGTGCATGCTCGCCCCAAAGTCCTCCACCAGCCCTGTCTGTATGGTGCATCCTTGCTCGCACACACACCGCACAAACACATACCTGTAATCCCTCTTGTGTGCATTCATCAAGCAGCACCGTCACCATCGTCTCCACCACGTGCCCATCACCCACGTCCATGCACGCATGCAGGCAATCAAGCACAGCTACTCTAGTCTATCACCCCTCACCTCTAATCCCTCCTGAGTGCATTCATCCAGCATCACCATCACCATCGTCTCCACCACGGGCCCATCACCCACGTCCATGCTCGCCCCAAAGTCCTCCACCAGCCCTGTCTGTATGGTGCATCCTTGCTCACACACACACCTCACAAACACATACCTGTAATCCCTCCTCCGTGCATTCATCAAGCATCACCATCACCATCGTCTCCACCACAGGCCCATCACCCAAATCCATGCTCGCCCCACCCCCTTTGCTGTGCACACATGCAGCAGCACCATCATCAAGCACGTACCTGTAACCCATCTGCTGTGCATTCATCGAGCATCACCATCACCATCGTCTCCACAACATGCCTATCACCCACGTCCATGCTCGCCCCAAAGTCCTCCACCAGCCCCCGCCACCGCTGCTGCTGCCCCTCGCCCTGCCCTCCCTGGTAGAAGCGATCGATGAGGTAATAGAGAAACTGGGGAGCGGCAGGAGAGGAGGGAGAGGAGGGAGAGGAGGGAGAGGAGGGAGAGGAGGGAGAGGAGGGAGAGGAGGGAGAGGAGGGAGAGAGGAGCGGGAAAGGGAGCAAAGGACAACATCATAAGCCCTGGAAGGGAACTGCCACCGCTGCTGCCCCTAATTCTGCCCTCCCTGGTAGAAGCGATCAATGAGGTAGTAGAGGAACTGGGGGAAACACAGGAGCCAGAAGCCTGTGGGAAGAGGGGGCGGAGAGGGGGGGAAGAGAGGGGAAGAGGGGGATACGAGGAGGGGAAGGCAACAAGGGAGGACCTTCATTTGTCCGCCACAACCACCCCCTGGCACCGCTGCTGTCCCTCGCTCTGCCCTCCCAGGTAAGAGCGACCGATGAGATAGTAGAGGAGCTGGGGAAGGGAAGGGGCGGGGGAGAAAGGATGGGTTGGAAAATGGGGAAAGGGATTGGGAGCATGTTGTTGTGGTGGGCTGAGTCCTCCAACAGTCCCCCCTACTGCTGCTGCCCCTAGCTCTGCCCTCCTTGGTATTAGTGATCAATGAAATAGTCGAGCACCTTGGGCAGGAGGGGGAAGAAACGGAAGATGGGGGGAAACGGGGAATAGGAGATGGGGGGAAACGGGCGATGGGGAGCACCTTAAACGACAGAAAATAATGAGGACAAAAGTAAATATATTAATAAACAAAAAAGAACCGATCAAAACAAAACAAAAATACTCACGATTGCTTTCTTGGCCAAAGCTAGATCAGCCCCCGCCTCCAGAAACAAAAAATCGACCGCTGCCCGGAAATTCTCCGGTGGGTATTGAAACCCCGCCGCCGCTGCTGCTCCTCCTGCTCCACCCACTAACCCAGGACTCCCGCCTTGAAGGAGAAACTTCCCGGAAGCAGCTGGGGGTGTGGTGGGTACCGGCTGCTTGAGAGACAGCAAATCAAGCTGGTCTGAACGCAACAGCGAGGGGGAATCAGATGCATCACTTGCGCTCTCCTTACTGCCTTCTCTGCTGCTTTCCCTTAGGCTGTCTATTGCTTCCTCGATAAAAAGCTTCCCATTCTGCTGCTGCTGCTGTTCCTTTGCCCCTCCCGCTCCCCCTCCCTTGCCTCCTCCCCCTCCCCCTGCTCCAAGCACGGAGCCAGCAGTGCCAGCAGCAGCAGATACGCCAAGGAACTCCGGCCAGGCGGTCTCATTGGTCGCCTGCTTCCTCTGGCGAATCACAGCGCGCCACGTGGCGTGCGAGGAGTGGCGGGGAGGAAGGCCCTCGAAGAAACGGTTCTTGGCAGCCCACTGCATGACGTCCAGATGCTGTGGGGGGAAGGCAAGGACAGAGAAAAGGGGAAAAAGAATGAGGAGAAGGGGGGAGTGAGAGGGAGGAGAATGAGGAGAAGGGGGGAGTGAGAGAGAGGAGAATGAGGAGAAGGGGGGAGTGAGAGAGAGGAGAATGAGGAGAAGGGGGAGTGAGAGAGAGGAGAATGAGGAGAAGGGGGGAGTGAGAGAGAGGAGAATGAGGAGAAGGGGGGAGTGAGAGAGAGGAGAATGAGGAGTGGAAGGCAATCGAAGAAGCAGTTCTTGGCAGCCCATTGCATGACGTCCAGATGCTGCACGGAGAGACATGAAGAGGGGACAGAGAGGGTGGGAAATGGGAGAAGAGTTCTGATGACGAGGGAAGTGCGAAACGAATGATGAGGGGCCTCGCCCTTGAAGAAACGGTTCTTGGCAGCCAATGCGCTCACCTGGGAGGCTGGGCGGCTGCCTTGAAGAAACGGTTCTTAGCAGTTGCAAGAGCGGCCCCTTTCCCCTCCCCCACCTCCAATGCGCTCACCTGCGATACCCGTGCAACTTGTAGTGAGGGTGTTTTTGAGACGTCTCAAAAACACCCTCACTACACGTCTTTTGAGACGTCTCAAAAACACCCTCACTACACGTCGCTCACCTGCGATACCCGTGCAACTTGTAGTGAGGGTGTAACTGCTCACTACACGTCGCTCACCTGCAATACTCGTGCAACTGCCTCCGCCAGCCGCCCAGCCTCCCACTCGTGCCCCTTGCGCCCCTCCGTTCCCCCGCTTCCCCCTCTCCCCCCCTCCGCCTCCCCCTGCTGCATCTGCGCCTGCTGCTGCGCCAGGGGGTCGTCTGGGCCCTGCAGTGTTGCCAGCACCTGAGAAATCCCCTGAAGGCGCATGGCCAGGCAGGTGGCGTCATCCATGCGACGGTCAGTGATGCCAGAGGCGTCTGGAGGGAGGGAGGATGGGGGTGGGAGAGGGGGCAAGTGAGGGGGCAAGTGAGGGGGCGGGAGAGGGGGCGGGAGAGGGGGCGGGAGAGGGGGCGGGAGAGGGGGCGGGAGAGGGGGTGGGAGAGGGGGGTGGGAGGATGGGGGCGGGAGGGGGGGCAAGTGAGGGAAGAAGGCAGGAGAGGAGAGTGGGGTCGGGACTCGGGGGAGTAATAACCGCGGGAGAGGGATATGGGGGGATGGGTGCAGTGCACGGGCGATAAGGCAGGTGGATTGGATGGCATCATCAAAACGACAATCAGTGATGCCAGAGGCGTCTAGTCTGGAGGGAGGGGAATCGTAGGGGAAGAAGGGGAAAGCGCAGGGGAGGGGGGAGGGGGGAGGGGGGGGTAGGGGAAGTGGGGGAAGAAGAGGGGGGAGAGGAGAAAGGAGAAAGGGGAGAAATGGAGCAGGAAGGGAGGTGGGGAAGGAGTGAATGGGTGGGATCGGTGAAGATAGATTAGGGATGAGGAAATGGAGTGGGGTGTGCGGGCAGGCTGGTGGCATCATGTTGACCTTTGAGTCGACTCAAAAGCCAAGTGAATGGGATCAAAGTGAATTGGTATCACAGAACCGCACAAGACCGCACTCACAGAGGTTCCTGAGAGTCCTTTTTATCCCGGTGAAGGTCCTCTGTGCCCACTCGAGCACGAGCCTAGGGTCCAGCAGCAATGCCAGCACTGGATCCCTGGAGACTGCTGCTGCTGCCACTGCTATCAATAAACCTCACAGAACCGCAGAGAACTGCACACAGCTACTCACATAAGTCTCTAAGCGTCCTTTTTATCCCGGTAAAGGTCCTCTGTGCCCACTCAAGCACGAGCCTGGGGTCCAACAGCAGAGCCAGCACCGGGTCACTGGAGACTGCTGACTCGTCCATGCATACCTCCTCCACGTCTGATGGGGGGTTGGGGGGGATGGTGGGGGGAGAACGGGGGGATGAATAGTGGAAGGTGGATTAAGAAGAGAGGCAGGCGAGCGAGCCAGCACTTGGCTGCTGATGAGAGTGACGAGCCCACAGTCCAGTGCAATGTCAACGATGGCAAACAGCAGAGGGAGGGAGGGAGGGAGGGAGGGAGGGAGGGAGGGAGGGAGGGAGGGAGGGAGGGAGGGAGGGAGGGATAGGGCAGTGCTTGCAGTGCTTGCATCGAGCTGCTGGGTTGAGTTCGGTGACAACAGGGGCCTGCCTGCCAGCAACTCACAGTGGCAGATGAGAGTGACGAGCCCGTGGTCCAGAGCAATGTCAAACAGGGCGAACAGCCGCCGCACGTCCATGGGACACCCCTGCGCGTCCCCCACCGGCCCCCTGCTGCTCCGCCCCCCCACCCACTCCCCCTCCCCCACCCCCACCAGTCCCACTCACAGTGGCAGATGAGAGTGACGAGCCCGCGGTCCAGAGCAATGTCGAAGAGGGCAAACAGTCGCCGCACGTCCATGGGATACCCCTGCGCGTCTTCCCCCAGGCCCTTATCACCCATCCCCCTCCCCTTCCTCCTACCCCTCCCTCACCAGTCCCACTCACAGTGGCAGATGAGGGTAACGAGCCCGCGGTCCAGAGCAATGTCAAACAGGGCGAACAGCCGCCGCACGTCCATGGGATACCCCTGCGCATCCACCCCCAGGCCCCCAATCCCCCCTCCGCCTCCCCCTGCTGCTCCCCCTGCTGCGCCTCCCCCCCACCCGGCGTCTTTAACCACGTCTTTGAGTGGGCTCACAAGGCCTGCATCCACACACGCGTCGTACAGACGGATGTGAATCCGCTCGCCAGACTGCCGAGCAGAACCCCCTTCCTCTGTTGCTACTCCTCCACCTGCTACTCCCCCTCCCCCTGCTACTCCTCCCCCTACTCCTCCCCCTGCTGCAGCAACAGGGACGCCGATGGGGCAGCGGCAGACGGGGCAGGAGGAGCAGCGCTGGGCGCACTCCCCGCAAAGGCAGGCATGGCGGCAGGGCAGCAGGCAGTGGTGAACGGTGCGCCCACACGGCCTCAGTTCGCGCATGGCCCGGCACCTCTCCGCTCTCGCCTCCAGAGGGAGGGCCCTGGCAGGGGTATTAGCCAGGCGCAGCAGCACCTCCTGGTTCAGGGTTTAAGGTTTGGAGGTTGGGGGTTTGGGGAGGAAGTGGGGCGGGAGGGGAGGAGGGAAGGAAGAGGGAAGAGGGGTTGAGCGGGGGCAGACGGGGCAGGCGGAGCAGCGCTGGGCGCACTCCCCACGGAGGCAGGCGTCGACAGGGCAGCAGGCAGTGGTGCAACGTGCGCCCACACGGCCTCAAATCGTGCATAGCTCGGCACCTCTCCGCCCTGGCTTCTAAGGGGAAGGCCCTCGCGGGGGTCCCAGCCAGGCGCAGCAGCACCTCCTGCTTGGTGGGGGGAAGAGAGGGGGAACGAGGGGAGGGAGAGGATGGGAAGCAGGGGAGGAGGAGAGGAGGGAAGGGAGGGGCGGAAAAAACGAAGAGGCAGCAGGCAGTGGTGCACGGTGCGCCCACACGGCCTCAACTCGCGCATGGCTCGGCACCTCTCTGCTCTGGCTTCCAGAGGGAGGGCCCTGGCAGGGGTGCTTGCCAGCCTCAGTAGCACTTCCTGCTTGGGGTGAAAGGGGGAGGAAAGGGGGAACGAGGGGAGGGAGGGGATGGGAGGCAGGGGAGGAGGGGAGGAGGGGAGGGAGGGCGGAGGAAGCGAAGAGAGGGGGTGAAGTGAAGACATGGCAGCAGGGCAGCAGGCAGTGGTGAACCGTGCGCCCACACGGCCTCAACTAGCGTAATGGCTCGGCGCTGCTCTGCCCTCGCTTCCAAGGGAAGGGCCCTGGCAGGGATCGCACGCAGCCAGGCGCAGTAGCACTTCCTGGTTCAATGTTTCAGGTGGGGGGGGTGGGTGGGGGGGAGGGAGGAGAGGAGGAAGCGACGAGAGGGGTGAAGAGAGGTGTGGTGTGGCAGCAGGGAAGCAGGCATCGGTGCACGGTGTTCCTCCTCGTCTCCTCTGGTAGCGCCCGCGCAGGGGTCCCCGCCAGCAACAGCAGCACCTCCTGCTTGAAGGGGTAACATTTCTTATATTGGTAACATTTCTCAGGCTGGTAACATTTCTCAGCCTGGTAACGTTTCTCAGCCTGGTAACATTTCTCAGCCTGGTAACATTTCTCAGTCTGGTACCATTCCTCAGCCGTAACATTTCTCAGCCTGGTAACATTTCTCAGTCTGGTAACATTTCTCAGAATGATAACATTTCTCAGGCTCGTACCATTTCTCAGGCTGGTAACTTTCCGAGAATGGAGCATTAAGGTGCGAATTTTAGACTCCTAGGAGGTCACTGACTCACTGATTGACTGCGGTCGGAATTACCTCGCGATTCAATACAGTGTACCCGCAGTGCCTACACGCTAATAGCTGCCTCGAGATAATATATAGTGTGCCTGCCGTGCCTGTCCTATGCTGGCGGCAGTGGCATCGGCGTGGACGCAAGAGCTCCTAAGGTTAAACTTTACACAGTGTGCATGCCGTACCTGCTGCCAGGGGTGACTAAGGATTCGGTGCACCCTGCAGTTCCTAGTGTAACTCGTTACAAGGTTCTGGCCATTCTTAGGGTAACTCGCAACAAGGCACTGCCCATTCTTAGGGTAACTCGTTACAAGGTACTGTCCGCGCCTAGGAACTGTAAACATTGATTCCGCTGTACCTGCTGACGGCGGTCCATGATCTCCGATCAGGACCCGGCAATCGAGAATCCGACGGAGGACGTTGGATCGAAGATCAGCAGCCCGTCCGATCCGACGATCAGCAGCCCGTCGACTTTTCCGAACCAGCCCAAATTCTGCTCAAGTGCAGTACGATGGTTGCGGCCAACACGCAGATCAATACAGCCGTTGAAGCCAAAGCTGTCGCTGCTGGCACAGACAAATCCGCTGGACGAAACGTGTGTCAGTAGTGGGATCAGAATGACAGCTCCCACGGAAGACGGCCTCCAAAGATCAAAACCCGAAAGTTTCTTTCGTGGAGGTGAAAACGGATTTGTCTGTTCTGGTCAGGTGAAATCTATTTTTTCGTGGTACAGTTCGGTACCAGTTCGAACAGCACATACAGCACTTAGCTCAAAATGAGTCCCTGGGGCCCGCCACTGCCGTTGATTCGCTGACACCAATCACAAATCCATCTCGCAGCGGGAAGCCTCTTGGGACGATACTCGGCACAAGATCGCCCGTTAAAATCGTACCAGTGCTGCTCTTTCTATTCAGAGTACATACAGATTTGTCGTGTAACACCACCGAAACAACAAAATTCATCGGTTCGTGCTGTTTCGCCAGAGTCGCTGACGACTTCGAAATCTTTCACATTCGCCACGAAACTGAAGTACCACCAGCAGGTAATGAGAAACAGGCCATTCCGAGATTCGGCTGTACGGAGCCTCCTAACGGCTCTAATTCCCGATCCAGACTAGAACTGGAACTAGAATTGTTTATCGTTGATCGGAGTTGATTCGCGGTTCTAGTCGCAGCCATGACGGTCATTACCAGTGCGAGCGGCCTGCTGGCCATGCTCGACGAGGAGGAACCTGCTCTCCGCGTGTACGCTCTAAAGAATCTGAATCTGCTCGTCGGCCAGTTCTGGGCCGAGATCTCCGCGAACATCTCCACCATGTAAGGACGTAGTTAATTTCCGCAGTCCCATCAGCTCGTGAAACCGCGGTCTTACCAATCCGTTCGGTATCCAGTATCTATTTTAGAGTTCGATCATTAACCTGCGATTCTAGCGTAGGTAATTCCAGGAAAGTTATAGATTCCAGATCTGTGCCGTAAATCCCCTATTTAGGTACCGGCTGCTACCAGGGACGATTGGCTTCGTAGCCTGACACATCTGCTTGGCTTGATAGCCTGACATTTTGAAAATCATAGCAGAGGATTCGTGCAATAACCGTAATGATAACCATTGCGGTAACTGGTCAGTGTGGGATTATAAGCTTCTAGCAGCTAGCAGCTAGCTATCGCACTCCACTCGACCGCGACGGTGGATGTACGAGAATCTGTCGATCGTGACCTAGGAAATGTGAAACGTTCAGTCGTTCAGATGGAGATCGCGTGTGGCCTGACGTAGAGCCTACGGCTGTTTAGCTGTGTCATGTTTCTCTTTCTTATACCCGTTTCCTTCGTCCGTAGTTGCCTGGCCTGCACAATCTTGAAGATTCGTTGTCAGGATTCGAGATGGGAAGCGAGTAGGATTGAAGTAGTTTTCACTGTGCTTGCTCGTTAAACCGAGAAATTTAGTGATTAAGACGGTTCGATAGGATGGTGCAGGTGAGCTGTTATCATCCTGATTAGACTGCTTTTACGAGAATTCGCTAGATCAAGGTTGACAGGCGGAAATTGTAGGTGTTTCAGGAGTGTCTGGCGAAATTCGGCTGACCATTCTGGCCGATCAGTTGCTTTGTAATCTGACTAGAAGTTCTTAGAGTTTTAGGTCTGGCTACTTACGGATCTTATTCCACGTTCAACCTCCGCAATTTGCCTCTTCAGCAGTGTAGCCAGGGCGTTACTTGGCGTTTCTTTGTTGGGATTGTACATCGAGGCATTTTTGCCTACTCTTTATCGCTTTGCATCCGAAGTCTTATAAGCCTGTCTGTAACATCACGTCTCCCCGTTTTCCCCTCCGTTGAATCCGTTCAGCGAGAGCCTGTACGAGGATGAGACGTTCGACCATCGCGAGCTGGCAGCTTTACTGGCCTCCAAGGTAATCTTCGTCCTGTATTTTGAAATCCTTTTGTCAGATTGTCAAAAGTGGTTTCAGCATGTGTATGTGTTTTATCTCCTGAGAGAACTCACTGACATTGGATTGCTCCTGTAGTGTGCTCATTGCTCAACGCAGTGTGTGGACTAAGCTCAACGCCTTTCTTCCTCTTGTTCGTGCATGTGTGCAGGTGTTTTACTATCTGGGCGAGCTCACCGACTCGCTCACGTATGCGCTTGGCGCGGGGTCCCTGTTTGACGTCTCGGAGGACTCGGAATACGTGCAGACGCTCATTGGTGCGTGCATTGGTGTCTGGGTGGGCTTGTTGGTCGGGTGCATGGTAGAGAGAAGGGACTCACCGACTCGCTCACGTACGCGCTTGGCGCTGGGTCCCCCCTGTTCGACGTCTCAGAGTACTCTGAATACGTGCAGACGCTTTTTGGTGCGTTCATGGGCGGGCTGATAGGTAGGAGTGCGGATGCATCGGTGATTGAGCGTGGGTGTTCGAGCGTGCATACAAGGGTCGCTCTTTGACGTCTCGGAGGACTCTGAATGCGTGCTGACGCTCATTGGTGCATATGGGTTGGCGGTGTCTGTTGGTGGTGGGATGGATGGTGCATGGGTGCATGGATGCAAGGGGGTTTACTGACGCGCTTGGCGCGGGGTCGCTCTTCGACGTCTCGGAGGACTCGGAATACGTGCTGACGCTCATTGGTGCGTGCATGGATGGGCTGGTTAGTAGGGGTGCAGGTGCATCGGTGTTTGAGCGTGGGTGTTTGAACGTGCATGCAAGAGTCACTCTTTGACGTCTCGGAGGACTCGAAATACGTGCTGACGCTCATTGGTGTGTCCATGGGTGCAAGGGTGCGTGGGTAAATGGATGCAAGGGAGCCATCGAGTGAGGGATTCACCGACTCACTCATGGAGTGCGCAACTTCCTATGACCCTGTTCTCCGTTGTCGTGTTTCGGTGCCCCTTGTGCTATTCCCGTGTGGTTCTCGTTGCCCCATGCCCCATGCCCCCCCGCAGCCAAGTGCATTGACGAGTACATGGACCCGAGTGTCAAGCGCGCTGACTCCCATGACCCCCAAGCCAAGTATCCTCTGTCTGCCCCCCCTCCCCTCCTTGTTTTCCCGTTGTACGTCGCTGTGCCCCCTGCAGCCAAGTGCATTGACGAGTACATGGATCTGAGTGTCAAGCGTGCCGACTCCCACGACCCCGATGCCGACTATCCTGTCTCGTGCCCTGTCTTTTTCTGTGTGTCTCCCATTGCCAAATGTACCCCTCCCATGCACCACTCCCACCCCCGCAGCCAAGTGCATTGACGAGTACATGGATCTCAGTGTCAAGCGTGCCGACTCCCATAACCCTGTTCATCATTCACCCCGTGTGTGTTTTTCTTGTGTCTCTCATTGCCCCTGTGGATGACTTCCCCGCAGCCAAGTGCATTGACGAGTACATGGATCTCAGTGTCAAGCGTGCCGACTCCCATGACCCCGACGCCGACTTTCCTCTGGACCCGCGCCTCGTGGCCATTGTGGAGAGGATGCTGGACAAGTGAGTGGTGCTCTTGCTGCTCTTGCTGCTCTCTGTCTGCATGCATGCATGTGGGAGGGGATAACTGACCTGCTGCCTATGACAGCTATCACTCTTCTGGTCCCGCGCCTGGTGGCCATCGTAGAGAGGATGCTGGACAAGTGAGTGCTGCTGCTATTCTTGCTGCTCTCTGTCTGCATGCATGCTGGCCCCGGCTGTTTGACAGTTATCACTCCTCTTTTCCCGCGCCTGGTGGCCATTGTGGAGCGGATGCTGGACAAGTGAGTGCTGCTCATGTTGTGATGATTCAGCTGTGTGTGTGTCGGTTATCACTCCTCTGGACCCGCTTGACCTGCGTGGCCATCGTAGAGAGGATGCTGGACAAGTGAGTGCTGCTCATGTTGTGATGATTCACATGCGTGTGTGCGCAGATGGCGGACCTGGTGTGTGTGTGTGTCGGTTATGACTCTGGATCCGCTTGACCCGCATCTTGTGGCCATCGTGGAGAGGATGCTGGGCTTTGAGTTGTATTCTTGCTGCTCTTGGCTGCACCCCCCTCCCCCTCCCTTTCTCCTCCCCTTCCGTTCCTCCACAGCTGCATTGAGGAGCGTCAGTTCCAGCAGGCTATTGGAGTGGCGCTAAAGTGCCGCCGCCTTGACAAGTTGGAAGCTGCTGTTGCCAAGAATCAGCTGTAGCCCTCTCACCTCTCCCCTTCCCTCGCCCCGCCCCCTTCCACTCCAGCTGCATTGAGGAGCGTCAGTTCCAGCAGGCCATTGGAGTGGCGCTGGAGTGCCGCCGCCTCGACAAGCTCGAGGCTGCCGTTGCCAGGAGTGGCAACTCGCGCTCTCTGCTAGCCTACTGCTTGCAGGTAGGCTGATGTTCACTCACCCACGCTCTGCTGCTCAACGTATTCTGAAGTTCATTGCTCGATCGCCAAGAATGAAAAGAAATTCCACCCCTTCCATCCCCCCGCACACAGGCATTCCTGCTCTGGCCTTTCATTCAATCCCTCACCCCCCTGTTTGCTGCTGTGTTTCCTGCCTGCCTTGCTGTTGCTTACCTCCCGTGCAGGTTTCTCATTCCCTTGTCAACCGTCGGCAATTCCGCCAGCAGGTACTGCACCCGTCTCTATCCTTCTCTTGCTCTCCCTCGCGCTCTCTTCATCCCTCTTACTCTCCCTCTCTTCGCGCTCTCACTCGGCCTCTCTTCAACCTCTCACTCTCCCTCTCTTCACCCTCTCTCTCGCCCTCACTTCACCCTCCCACTCGCCCCCTCACTCGTTTCGTGGTTTCTATATCCGTTGCTGTTCTACATTACCAGGAAGCAGAGTGCACAGACAATCGCACAGCATAACTTTTGAGACTTCTCAAGATTCTATCTGTTGCTGTGTGTTTTACCAGAAGCAGAGTGCACAGGCCATGGCACAGCGTAAGACATAAGCCACATGCTCAGACTCCTCAGCGATTCCTTTGGCCCTCTACCCCTGCCCTTACCTGTTCCCATTGTCCCTTGCTGTTATCCTTGCCCTCACCTCTTCCCCTTGTACCTGCCCTTCTCTTGTGCCCTTTCCCCTTTTCCTTATCCCTTTGCTCTCCTTCCTTCCCACTGCTCCGCTGCTGGAAACCCCAAAACCTCCACGTCATCCCCCCCAGGTGCTCTCCACACTGGTGCGGCTGCACAAGCAGGCAGAGACCCCGACTACGGCAGCATCAGCCAGATGCTCATTTCAATCAGTGACTCCTCTTTCCCTTATCCCTTGCCATTCCTCCTGCCTCAGGTGCTCTCCACGTTGGTGCGGCTGTACCAGCAGGCCGAAACCCCTGACTACGGCAGCATATGCCAGATGCTCATGTCCCTCAGCAACTCCCCTTCCCCTTCCTCCGCTCCTTCCCCCGTGCCCTTCTCCATTTCTCCTTGCTGCCCGTCCACTTACCCGTCTCCAGGTGCTGTCGAAGTTGGTGAGGCTGTACCAGCAGGCGGAGGCCCCGACTACGGCAGCATCTGCCAGATGCTCATGTTCCTCAGCAACTCCCCTTGTCCTTCCCCATGACCCTTCCCTCCTGCCTTTTCCTCTTGTTCTTCCCTCTTGCCCATACATGACCCAGGTGCTGTCGACACTGGTATGCCTCTACCAGCAGGCCGAGACCCCCGACTACGGCAGCATCTCTCAGATGCTCATGTTCCTCAGCGACGCAGCAAAGGTGGCGGCCACACTGGACCGACTCATTATCAAGGGACAGAACGAGTCTGATGCTTTATTAGCCTACCAATTCGCCTTTGACCTTCTTTACTCCCTCTCCTTCCCCCCTTCTCCTTCTCCCTCTGCTCCCCTCCTCCTCCGCTGTTGTAAACCCTGAACCCCTCCAGGTGCTCTCTACATTGGTACGCCTATACCAGCAGGCCGAGACCCCCGACTACAGCAGCATCTCTCAGATGCTCATGTCCCTCAGCGACGCAGCAGGGGTGGCGGCCACACTGGACCGACTCATTATCAAGGGACAGAACGAGTCTGATGCTTTATTAGCCTACCAAGTCGCCTTTGACCTTCTTTACTCCCTCTCCTTCCCCCCTTCTCCTTCTCCCTCTGCTCCCCTCCTCCTCCGCTGTTGTAAACCCTGAACCCCTCCAGGTGCTCTCTACATTGGTGCGGCTGTACCAGCAGGCAGAGACCCCCGACTACGGCAGCATATGCCAGATGCTCATGTTCCTCAGCGACGCAGCAGGAGTGGCGGCCACACTGGACCGACTCATCAAGGGGCAGAACGAGTCCGATGCTTTATTAGCCTACCAAGTCGCCTTTGACTTGTTTGAGAACGAGTTTCAGCAGTTCCTGCTGTCCGTGAGGGATGCTCTGCCCGACCCGCCGCCCCCTCTTGCTCCTACCCCGGCTGTTCCGGCCTCTGCTGATGCTGATGCCGGTGCTGCTGCTGCTGCTCCGGAGGCGGACGGTTCTGCTGCTGCTGCTGCTCCTGCAGCAGTGGATGCGGAGGCGACGGCTGGTGGTGATGCTGCTGCAACAGGCGCAGCAGCAGCAGAGGGAGGCAGTGCTGCTGCTGCAACTGATGCCACCGATGGGGCTACAGCAATGGAGACAGAGGAAGGGAAGGAGGGCGCAGGAGCAGCAAAGGCAGCCGAGGGAGAGGTGGCAGATGCAGCTACAGCAGCAGCTGCTGAGGACGGAGCAGCCAAGCCTGCTGCCGAGGCTGACGGGACAAGCACCATGGATACTACCGAGGCTGCTGGTGCTGGTTCAGCCGAAGCTGCAGGTTCGGGGGAGGGCGAGGCGGCTGCCGAGGCTGCGCCAAGCGAGGAGGTGGTATATGCGGAGCGACTGGCGAAGCTGAAGGGGATTCTGTCGGGGGAGACGCCAATTGGCCTCACTCTGCAGTTCCTGTACAGCCATAACAAGTGAGTGGCGGGTTTAGGGTTTAGGGTGTGTCAGTGTCAGTGTGTTGGTGTGAGTGTGTGTGGAGCGATTGGCGAAGCTGAAGGGATTTTGTCAGGGGAGACGCCAATTGGCCTCGCTCTGCAGTTCCTGTACAGCCATAACAAGTGACTGGCGGGGTCAGGGTTTAGGGCGTGTTAGTGTCTCTGTGTTGGTGTGTGTGTGTGTGGAGGTGATGTATGCGGAGCATCTGGCTAAGCTCAAGGGGATTCTATTGAGGGAGATGCCTATTGGCCTCACTCTGCAGTTCCTGTACAGTCATAACAAGTGAGTGGCTTCCCCAGTTCCTAATGGCTTTGTGCTCCCATGTCCCCTTGCTTCCAAACCATAGGGCGGACCTGGGAGTGCTCAAGTCCATCAAGCAGGTGGTGGAGACGCGGAACAGCGTGTGCCACAGCGCCACCATTGTAGCCAACGCATTCATGCATGCAGGCACGACAGTCGACACCTTCCTCCGAGACAACCTGGTGAGCTTGTGTGCGCTCATGCATGCGCTCATGCATGTGCTCAACACTCATGGTACCGTACCTCCCTCTCTTTGTGGCCTATGCGTTCATGCATGTGGGCACGCGAGTTGACACCTTCCTCCCAGACAACCTGGTGTTGGAGTGATACATGCATGCATGCAGGCATGCAGGCACCTGGTGATCATTCATGCATGCAGGAACAGGCATGCATGTGGGCATGGTCATGTATGGAGGGAATGTGCTCAGTAGGAGCCATCCACACACAGAGGCGCTCTCTCGTCTGCAGTAGAAGCACTCTTTCATGGCTCCCAACCTGCGCTTACACTCTCTCTTCTGAGGCGCCTCAAAAATCGTCTCATGTGAGGGAATGTGGACGCACGCAGAGGCGAGGCGCTCTCTCATCTGCAGCGGAGGCACTCTTTCATGGCTCCCAACTTGTGCTTACACTCTCTCCTCTTGTCCCACCCCGACTTTTGAGACGTCTTAAACGAACGTGCTCAGTTGGAGCCATCCACACACAGAGGCGCTCTCTCATCTGCAGCAGAGGCACTCTTTTATGGCTCCCAACCTGCGCTTGCACTCTCTCTTCTTGTCCCACCCCTCCTGGCCTTCAAACCCCCAACCTGACTTAAACCCGCCCAAGCCCTGAACCCTCAGGACCGGTTGAGCCGAGCGACCAAAAGGGCAAAGCTCAGTGCTACATTGGGCCTGGGAGTGATCCACAGGGGGCACCTGCAGCAGGGGCGCTCCCTCATGGCGCCCTACCTGCCCCTCAACTCTGTCTCCTTGTCCCATCTCTTTCAAACCCAAACCCGTAACCCTCAGGACTGGTTGAGCCGAGCGACTAACTGGGCGAAGTGCAGTGCAACGGCCAGCCTGGGAGTGATCCACCGGGGCCACCTGCAGCAGGGGCGGTCCCTCATGGCTCTTTACCTGCCCTGGACCTGACACTCTTTCTCATCTTATCCCCAATTCTGAAACCCTGAACCCTCAGGACTGGTTGAGCCGAGCGACCAACTGGGCGAAGTTCAGTGCAACAGCCGGCCTGGGGGTGATCCACAGGGGGCACCTGCAGCAAGGGCGCTCCCTCATGGCGCCCTACCTGCCCCACGGGGCTGGGGGCAGCGCTGGGTCAGCAGGAGCACTCCCTCGTGGCTCCTTACCTGCCCTTACACTCCCCCTTTCTGTCCCACCTCAACCATTCCCCAAACCCAAACCCCTCTCTCTACACCCTCAGGACTGGCTGAGCCGTGCGACCAACTGGGCGAAATTCAGCGCTACAGCCGGCCTGGGGGTGATCCACAGGGGGCACCTGCAGCAGGGGCGCTCCCTCATGGCTCCCTACCTGCCCCACGGGGCTGGGGGCAGCGCTGGGGCAGCAGCAGGGGGGCTGAGTGGGAGTGCGTATTCGGAGGGCGGGGCGCTGTATGCTCTGGGGCTCATCCACGCCAACCACGGGGAGAGCATCAAGGGGTTCCTGCTCGAGAGCCTCCGCAACACCAGCAACGAGGTGTGTGTAGGGAGGGAGAAGTTTTAGGGTTTAGGGGAGAAAGACGCTTTGGGGCAGCAGGTGGGGCAGCACGGGGAGAGCATCAAGAGCTTCCTGCTGGGGAGCCTCCGCAACACCAGCAATGAGGTGCGTGGAAGGCAGGGGTCTGAGGGTTTAGGGTGCAGGGTTTAAAAGGAGGTGATGATGTGAGTGGAGCAGGTCTGTTGAACATTTCCGTCACTTCAAACTGACTTTGAGCACTTCACACTTCAACCTTGAACCCTGAGCTGTACAGACGATCCAGCATGGGGCGTGCATGGGTGTGGGACTGGCGGCCATGGGGATGGGCGATGAGGAGGTGTACGAGGACGTGAAGAGCGTTCTCTACACAGACAGGGTGGCACCCCACCCTGCACCCCCCGCCATAACACCACCCCCCCCCACACCCTTAACCCCTAAACCCCTGAACAGACGATCCAGCATGGCGCGTGCCTGGGCGTGGGTCTAGCAGCCATGGGGACGGGCGACGAGGAGGTGTATGAGGGCGTGAAGAGCGTTCTCTACACTGACAGCGCCATGCCTCCCACCCTGCACCCTCGCCACAACCACCACCGGTCTTTCAACCCCTTAAACCGAAACCCTCACCCCGTAACCCCAATTCCTGCAGACGATCCAGCACGGAGCCTGCCTGGGTGTGGGGCTGGCGGCCATGGGGACGGGCGACGAGGAGGTGTATGAGGACGTGAAGAGTGTTCTCTACACTGACAGCGCCGTGGCGGGCGAGGCCGCGGGGATCGCCATGGGGCTGCTGCTGGTCGGGTCGGCGAGCGAGCGGGCGGCAGAGATGCTGGCTTACGCGCATGACACCCAGCATGAGAAGATCATCAGGTGGGGGGATGGTTATGAAATTACACAAACGAACTCACCAATGCAATTGCTGTAGCGCTGTACATGCGTTCTCTTACAGGAACGAATGTGATTGTTGTATCGCTATACATACATTCGTTCTGGCTGGTGTGTGTCAGGTGAACACACACCAGGTGAGAGGGAGGCTGGCCTCTGCAGCCTCCCAGAGGCCTGGCAGTAGGAATTTTTCTCTTGCTGTACAGGCAGGAGGAAGGACCAATACCTAGTCCAGTAACTCATGTTTTGAGACGTCTCAAAACACCAATACCTAGTCCAGTAACTCATGACTCGTGCCTCATTTCCTTGGTTCTCCCTTCTCCAGAGGCCTTGCTGCAGTGGGGATCTCCCTGGTCGTGTACGGGCGGGAGGAAGAGGTCGATATTCTCATCCAGCAGATGACAACCGACGCCGACCCGATCCTGCGCTACGAGGGCATGCACGCCATCGCCATGGCCTACCGCGGCACCAATGGGTCTACCCAACCCTTTCAATCCCTCCCCCCCTCTCCCCCTCCCCTTCCCCGCTTGTGCTACGGGGGACTGTACGCCATCGCCACGCGGCATCGCCAGCAACCAACCCTCGATATTCCCACCCTTCCCCCCTGTCCCCTTCCCCACCCTCCCCTTCCCCGCTTATGCTACGGGGGCCTGTACGCTCCACCGCCATGGCCTACCGTTTCACTGCCAGCAACCAACCCTCGATATTCCCACCCTTCTCTGTCCCCTTCCCCACCCTCCCCTGTCCATTCCTTCCTCACTCACACGACCCTCCAACCCTGTTCTCAAAGAGGACTGGCGGTGGGAATCTCTCTCGTGGTGTACGGGCGGGAGGAGGAAGCAGATATCCTCATTCAGCAAATGACGACGGATGCCGACCCGATCCTGCGCTACGGAGGCATGTAGCCGTCGCCATGGCCTACCGCAGCACCGCCAACAACACCGTGCAGGGCCAATCAACCTTCCATATACCGCCCTCTCCCCTGTCCCCCAACCCCTTTCTTTCTTGCATCTCGCTTCCTCCAGAGGCCTGGCTGTAGGAATCTCCTTGGTTGTGTACGGGCGGGAGGAGGAAGCGGATATTCTCATTCAGCAAATGACAACGGACGCCGACCCGATCCTGCGCTACGGAGGCATGTACGCCATCGCCATGGCCTACCGCGGCACTGCTAACAACGGCGCCATTCGGCAGCTTCTGCACTTTGCCGTCAGTGACGTCAGCGATGACGTCAGGCGCGCCGCTGTGCTGTGCCTGGGCTTCGTGCTGTGTGCTGAGCCGGATCAGGTGAGAGAGAAAAGGAATATGCTCTATTTTGTCTTAAAACGAAATTCTCTGCCGTCTTTTCTCTGCTCTTATGCTGCTGCGCTGTACTCTGTGCGTGCGGAGCCCGATCATGTGAGGAGGAGAGCAGGAGTCTGCCCTATGTTGTCACGGTGTTCTGGCTGTGTTCTGGCTGTGTTCTGGCTGTGTTCTGGCTGTGCTCTGTGCTGTATACTATCTCTCGCATCATGTGTGCCGGAATGGCACGTGGTACCGCACTCCACCTGCTGGAATCATTCCCTCACCCCCTTTGACCCTTGTTGTACCACTCTCAACCCTCTCTCTCTCTCCCTTTGCACCCCTCTCCACCGCTCTTCCTCCCTTCCCTTGCATCTTTTCTCTCATGGTCTCTCTCCTAGCCGAGTCCTTCAATCCCCACATGCGCTATGGGGCAGCCATTGCGGTTGGCATTGCCTGCGCCGGCACGGCTCAGAGGAGCACTCTCAACCTGCTGGAGCATCTTCCTCATTCTCCTCTTTTAACCCATGTTGCACCACTTTCAACCCCGCTCTATCCCCTTGTACCGCCCTCCACCGCTCTCGCTCCCCTTGTACCGCCCTCCACCGCTTCCGCTCCCCTTGTACCGCCCTCCACTGCTCTCGCTCCCCTTGTACCGCCCTCCACTGCTCTCGCTCCCCTTGTACTGCCCTCCACCGCTCTCGCTCCCCTTGTACCGCCCTCCACCGCTCTCGCTCCCCTTGCACCGCCCTCAACCCCTCGCCGTACAGGTCCCCCGCATGGTCTCCCTGCTCGCAGAGTCCTTCAACCCCCACGTGCGCTATGGGGCAGCCATGGCGGTCGGCATCGCATGCGCCGGCACGGCCCAGCGCAGCGCTCTCGATCTTCTGGAGCCGCTCACATCAGATGGAGTGGACTTTGTGCGACAGGGCGCCCTCATGGCTACAGCCATGGTGCTCATGCAGTGTTCTCAGGAGCGCGAGCCGCGTGTGGTAACTTTCAGGTGTGTGAGTGCCTTCAGGTGAGCCGTAGGCCTCGGCTGTCCCAACCGGCCGCTCTCTATCTCTCTTTCTGTGAAGGGCAGACCAGAGGAGCGCTCTCGACCTGCTGGAGCTGCTCATGTCAGACGGGGTGGACTTTGTGAGGCAGGGCGCGCTCATGGCCACCGCCATGGTGTTCATGCAGTGCTCGCAGGAGAGAGAGCCACGCGTTGTGACGTTCAGGTGAGGGGTGGGCCGTGTCTGAGTGCATTTCACGTGCAGTGCTCTCCGTGTGTGGGGCAGGGCTGTGAGGCAGGGCGCCCTCATGGCCACGGCCATGGTGCTCATGCAGTGCTCGCAGGAGAGAGAGCCACGGGTAGTTACTTTCAGGTGATTCATTTATCAGGATTCGGGGTCTGAATGTATGCGTGCATGTAGTGGCTGCAGTGTGAGGCAGGGCGCGCTGATGGCCACAGCCATGGTGCTCATGCAGTGCGCGCAGGAGAGGGAGGAAAGAGCCATGACCTTCAGGTGAGACTCGAGCCTCTGCTGTCCCAGCCTGCCTTTCTAGGGCGCCTTCCCAGCCTGCCTTTCTAGGGCGCCTTCCCAGCCTGCCTTTCTAGGGCGCCTTCCCAGCCTGCCTTTCTAGGGCGCCGTCCCAGCCTGCCTTTCTAGGGCGCTTTCCCAGCCTGCCTTTCTAGGGCGCCTTCCCAGCCTGCCTTTCTAGGGCGCCTTCCCAGCCTGCCTTTCTAGGGCGCCTTCCCAGCCTGCCTTCCCAGCCTGCCTTCCCAGCCTGCCTTTCCAGCCTGCCTTTCCAGCCTGCCTTTCCAGCCTGCCTGTCCAGCCTGCCTTCCCAGCCTGTCTTCCCAGCCTGCCTTCCCAGCCTGCCTTCCCAGCCTGCCTTCCCAGCCTGCCTTTCCAGCCTGCCTTTCCAGCCTGCCTGTCCAGCCTGCCTTCCCAGCCTGTCTTCCCAGCCTGCCTTCCCAGCCTGCCTTCCCAGCCTGCCTTCCCAGCCTGCCTTCCCAGCCTGCCTTTCCAGCCTGCCTTCCCAGCCTGCCTTCCCAGCCTGCCTTCCCAGCCTGCCTTTCCAGCCTGCCTTCCCAGCCTGCCTTCCCAGCCTGCCTTCCCAGCCTGCCTTCCCAGCCTGCCTTCCCAGCCTGTCTTCCCAGCCTGCCTTCCCAGCCTGCCTTCCCAGCCTGCCTTCCCAGCCTGCCTTCCCAGCCTGCCTTCCCAGCCTGCCTTCCCAGCCTGCCTTCCCAGCCTGCCTTCCCAGCCTGCCTTTCCAGCCTGCCTTCCCAGCCTGCCTTCCCAGCCTGCCTTTCCAGCCTGCCTTCCCAGCCTGCCTTCCCAGCCTGCCTTTCCAGCCTGCCTTCCCAGCCTGCCTTTCCAGCCTGCCTTTCCAGCCTGCCTTTCCAGCCTGCCTTTCCAGCCTGCCTGTCCAGCCTGCCTTTCCAGCCTGCCTTTCCAGCCTGCCTTTCCAGCCTGCCTTTCCAGCCTGCCTTCCCAGCCTGCCTTTCCAGCCTGCCTTCCCAGCCTGCCTTCCCAGCCTGCCTTCCCAGCCTGCCTTCCCAGCCCGCCGCTCTCTCAGAGGCACAGAAGCCCGCAGCAAAATGCAATTGGGGCACCGGGTACAACATGGGCCCCACCCCGTGTGTGATAAGTCGAGTTTTGAGTCGACTCAAAACTCGACTTATCACAAAATGCTATTGGGGCACCAGGTACAACATCGGCCTTACCCCACCCCTTCGTCTGTCCTCACTCCCTTCCCTATCCTTATCCCTCCTCCCCTCTACCCTGCCCCATCTGTCCAGGCGTCAGCTAGAGATGGCTATTCACGACAAGCACGAGGACACCATGTGCAAGATGGCCGCTATTCCTCTATCTCTCGCTCAGTCTCTCCGTCAGTCACCAGCTCTCTTCCCTCCTTCCTCATGCTTCCTTCTTCCCCAGGCGCCAGCTTGAAAAAGCCATTCACGACAAGCACGAGGGCACCATGTGCAAGAGGGGCGCCATTCAAAGAGGGGGGTGATCCGTTTATGTCTACCTCCCTCGGTCCCTCCCTGTCCGTCTCCCTTCCTACCCTCCTACTCTCCCTCCCTCCCAGGCATCAGCTTGAAAAAGCCATTCACGACAAGCACGAGGACACCATGAGCAAGATGGGCGCCATCCCTTGTCACCCACTCACTTCCCCCCTGCCACCCCGCTCCCTGTGCTCCTCAGGCGTCAGCTGGAAAAAGCAATCCATGATAAGCACGAGGACACCATGTGCAAGATGGGCGCCATTCTCGCTTCCGGGATCCTCGACGCCGGCGGCCGCAACGTCACCATCTCCCTGCGCTCCCGCTCCGGTTACGACCGCGTAACCGCCGTGATCGGCATGGCTCTGTTCACGCAGTACTGGTACTGGTTCCCGCTTCTGCACTTCCTCTCTCTCTCCTTCTCTGCGACAGCCCTTGTCGGGCTTCAGGAGGATCTTAAGGCGCCGAAATTCGATTTTATTTCGGAGTGCCGCCCGGGGTTGTTTGCGTACCCGCCGCCCGCTGTGGTGGCGAGTAGCAGCACTGCGGTGAAGGCGCCGGTTGCGGTGCTGTCGACGGCTGCTAGGGCGAAAGGGAGGGCGAAGGAGAAGGAGGAGAAGAAGGAGAAGGAGGAGGAGAAGAAGGATGGGGGGGAGGGGAAGACCGGGGATAGTGGGGCGGGAGTGGGTGCGACAGCTACGGATGGAGTGAAGGGGGGTGAGGAGGGAGGGAAGAAGGGAGAGGACAAGAAGGAAGGAGATGCTATGGAGGTTAGTGTTGATCTGCCCTACCCTCCCATATCCCCCCACCTCTATTGTTGCACATATCACCACTTCCCCCACCCTCCTGTGGCTTTTTTCTCATGATCCTGCTTTCTGTGCCGTCACGCCCTAAATCTCTACCCGTTGACCGTCTTGACCAAAGAACGTTTGAGACTTCCAAAAAACTCTACACCTTATTGACCAAAGGGTAATATGTATAAACCCGTTTTGCTGCCTCGTTTCCACCAATTTCCACCCTTCTCCACCCTGGTTCACCCTTATTCACCACTCTCCACTGCAATCACCTATTCTGTCTCACCCACGTTCCTGTCATACGTTTCCTCTTCCCCCTATCTCCTCCAACTTCCACATTCCGCCTTAGCTCTTTCTCCCTTCCTTCGTGCAGGTTGAGGGGAATGACACCACCCCTGGTGCTGCTGCTGAAGCCAAAAAGCCGTCCGAACCAACGACTGAAATCCTCCACAATCCTGCCCGAGTGCTGCCCGCCCAAGAAAAATACATCAAGTTCCCGGACACCTGCCGCTATGCACCAATCAGGAAGCCGACCTCCGGATTTTTGCTCCTCAAGGATCGCCAGCCCGGGCAGCCCGAAGAATTCGCGCTCACCGACGGGCCGAATTCTGCTGGGGCTGGAAATTCCGGCGCTGCGCGGACTGCCGCCGCTGCTGTCCCAGCTGCAGCTGCTGCCCCTGTGGGTGCGTTCAGGAGGAGTGGTGGGGGGGGAGCTGGGGGAAGGGGGGGAAGAGGGGGGGGTGCTCCCCCTCCCCCACCACCTCCTGCTGATGATGATGAAGAGGATGACGAGCCTGCTCCTCCCGAGGCCTTTGACTTCCGTTAATTCTGTCTGTCGTTTGAGTTGATTCGAAGTCTCCCCACCCCACCACTTCCTCATGTTGAAGATGAGAATGATGCTGAGCCTGCGCCTCCCGAGGCCTTCGGTTTCCGTTGATTCTGGCTTGTGTTGTACCTGCATTGTTTCCCTCCTGCGCCTTGGTTTCTATGATGTTGTGGGATCATCTCTCATGCATTGTTTTCCGAATCCTCATTGACATGGTGTCAGACTTGACCGCTTACCGTATTCTCCCGGACATAACACCCTAGGGTAGATCTAAAAATACAGGAAAAAAAAGGGGGGTGTCTTCTCATAGGAAAAAGCTACATAATACCCGGGTGCATATATATGGTATATTTTAGTGTTAGAGTTTTTTTATTAGACAAGTTGAGTGTTTTCCATGGGCTTTTTAACATCACATGTTGAGGCGCGGATGTCAGTTTCGACGCAAATGTCATCACCCCCTCGAAAAACTCATTTGGCACCTATCTGGCCACCTGCAGCGGAAGATTCGCCAGCACGTGGCGACAGCGAAATAGTGGGCGGGGGGGAATCTCGGCAGATTTGATGTGAAAGAACCGGGAAATTTCATCGAGCGAGGGATTTTCGCGATATACTCCCGTACTTGCACCTACTCGTTAACAGCTATAATATAGAATCTGTAAGAAAAGGGGGGTGTTATAAAAAATCATCCAAAAAGGGGGGTATAGTGAAATCGAGGTCGCCCATAGCACCCACCCCGCACAAGCTACCCGGGGGTGCTCTATCATGGGGGGGTGTTTTGTCCGGGAGAATACGGTACATGCGCATCCTCGTTCGCGTGACAGATGTGTGAGACTGACCCAAAATATGGAGGACAATAGCCCAACGCGAAACTATCACATCACGTCACGAGGAAACATACTTCCCTTCAACAGGCAGCACTGCGATTCGCAACCCCACTCAAGTTGCGTACTTTCTAAATTTTGTCTAAACCAACCTGCAGACAGCATAGCATTATGAAGGCCCCTCTACTTTCACCCTTGTATCTCTCAACGGAATCGGGGGTGACGATCCGTTTTGCCCGGGGTGACGCTCGGGGGTGACGCTTTCGGGAGCGTCACCCTGACCCGGGCAGAAAAAAACTAAACCCCGAAGCGACCGGCATGCCATTCGGGAGCCTAAACCCTGAAATTTTAGGGTTGAGGCTCCCGAATGGCATGCCATCCGTCTGGGGTTTAGTTTTTTGCCCCGGGCAGTTTGTCGTTTTTTGGTTTCGTCTTTGTCGTTTCCTCGCGTGCTACGTTCCGTTGAGATATACTAGGCTGAATAACTATTTCCTTTCAGTACTTCCTTTCTACCTTCACCTTTGAATCACGGTTCTCGGTTTCTGCCTTCCTTAAGTGTACTGAGCTAACAACTGCGTTCGGAAGTTCCCCTCCCCATTTCCCAGGAAACCCAGCTGGCACCCGCACCTAGTTTTGTCACCAGTTCAGGGGCAAAACTGGACTTCAAAATCTTTTCCGCGTTTGGAGATTGCACTGCAACCTGCCAGATCTTCTCGCCGAAATGTTGTTGTGTGCTTCCCACTCACACCGATGGACACGTCAGACGTCCAGTGCAACACCTGGGCAGGACAAAGGGGTCGAGAAAACGACGAATCTGAATCATGGAGACGTTTGTCTTATGCTGCTCATGGCCAGTACAATGATTGGATTATATTCTGCGTGTACATCTCTTGGATTCGAACGCGGTGATTGATAGGTTGAAACTCCAACGTGGGGCCCACGTTTTACCCTCTTCCAGCCATGAATATCGAAGACTTTGTCTCCCATCACAGCCCATTGATTTCCGACATTCAGTTTTAGTAGCCTGCAATTGTGTTAAGTCATGAGCCAATTTCTAATACACCTACGTGTTTAGCTTCCGCAACCTGGATCTACAGTATTTTTAGGAGGCAGGTGCGAATGGCTCACAATGTGGCTCAATAAAATTATGGGTCTTAGTTACCCAAGGATGGCCTTCACTTCGGGGCACATACCGCGCACATGGCGAATCCGAAGCGAGCTGCGAATCGTCATAGTCCGAGCTGCCACGTCGTGTGCTTAGTCTACGCGGTTCTTGTGCACGTCGTGTGATTGGCTGTTTGAGTGCTCCACGGGATTGCGCCTACTGTTAAGATCCAAGGGTAATTGCTACGCAAAAGTACGCCCGACTAGGACACCCTCTGATAGACCCAGTTATAAAAAAAAGTGTATATTCTTCTGTCCACACCGACCATTAGGGTCAGGAAATTGGAGGCCAGTGTGAATTTTGAACAAAAGTTTGAAACTCGCCTCCGCGGACCAGTCACACATATGCTGACTGTGGTTGCGAGCGGTTTCGGAGGAACTTTCTATTATCCCTCCGATTTTATTTCCTTTGTTGACTACACCTTGTTCTTGATAATCTCACACCCCCTACCATTTTTTTGGCATGATGCGAGGGGTGCCCAGAGATTGGAGGACTATCAATAGAAGGGAGTTTCTCGATTAAAACACGCACTTATAGGGGTCTAAGTACCTTCGACATTTTGATTGCCACCCGCAATTTGCGAGAGTCGTAGAACTCTCGTCCAGAAATTGTAACAACGCTGTCAAGTACCCTCCGAAAATGTTTTCTTGAGGGTAAACACTCCAAGATGTGAAATCAAAGAGTTTAAAATTATCGAGAAGAGGCTGTAAGTTGTCCCAATCAGATCCGACGGCATGTGCGGTTGGTGCTTCAGGAACCTTCACTGCAGTTCACAGTGATCCTTGCCACTTTCTGGGCAGGATGCACAATTTCTGCATCTCCTATCCGCCAAGCAAATTTGACTTAGAATTGCCCAAACGCATCCACCCACCTGCCAGACTGCCCGACAGCTACTAGCAAGGAAGGACTCCCTTTTCAATCGTGAAATCACAGTGAACGTGTGCACTACAGTGTAAAGCAAGGATTTTGCGAGGCTTCAGCCAGCCCACACTTGAAATCACCCGCTCCGCTTCCCCCTGAATCCATCCATCTCCCATCCCCTCCTCTCCATCCGCCCCGCACCCAACCTCTCCCAACTGCTCCCCCAGCCTCTTCCTTGCTTCTCATCGTATTTCGTCACTCTTCGCCGAGTCCTTCGTGCACGCTTCGTGATCTCGCCGTGCATCTGCGCTTCGCCAATCCATTTGATTTCCTTTCTGGCGCTCCGCAGTGCTAGCTGGTTCGCATCTGATCTTCCGCATTATCGAGTCGCACTAACTCACAATAGTACCTCTCCTTGCAACTCCAGCTTATCTCCAGTTAGCCCCCACAAAGGCAGCAACACAAACTCGTCCTTCCATTCAAATGCCAGTCCTCGCCGCAATGTTTGTACGCTTCATCGCTTCTGTCATCCGCCTACACGTGATATTACGAGTCTCGCAAGGTTGTCTCTTATAGTAGCTGTTCTCCCTACCACCCCCACTGCCAGACACGAAACACGACGAGTTCATGGCAGCATTAGCTGCATAGCAGCTCATCCCCCACTGCTTACTCTTGTAGGTAGCTTCTCTCCACTAAAATCAACGCCTTGCCGTCGCATTATTCGAGTCGCCAATCAATTTCAAACATATCCAAGTTCGCAGCACAGAAATCGCGAAACCAGAACTGCTCGGCTGCAAGTTGCACTCCCGAATTTCGATCTCCCTCCACTCACATTTTCCGCCATTTGTTGTTCCGAGCTCCGCCAGTGTTCCAGTTTGTTCCAAGGTCCAGCAATTGCTCACGCTCGGAGCTCGTGAGCTGTCACCCGCTGCATCTGGGGAGATTCTCGAGGCGCCAAAAAAATTGTTCCGAGCTCCAGCTTTCTTTTCCGCCGCACGCGTGGCGTGAGCTGTCACACGCCGCACTCCCACTCCACTAATCTTCGCGTACAAGACTACTAGTGGCGACACGACACTGGAGCTGACAAGGAGCGTTTCGCGACGTCGCAGGTTGCGACGACAAAAGAAGCTGGCGCAAGCCTGTCGTTCGTCTATTTCTCTCGATCTCCTGGCGGTTATTGCGCGTGGGCCCGATAAACTCCACTCTTCTTCAATCTTCAACGCCGATATCGTCGCGCGACGACAAAGGAGCTGCCGCAAGCCTGTCTCTAACGCTGTCTTTCGTGCCTTTCTCTCAATTTTCGGCGGTTATTGCGCCCGATAAACTCCACTCTTCGTCAATTTTCAACGCCGATTTTGTCTCCGAGTGTGCTAATCTTCTCCACTCTTCTTCAATCTTCAACCCCAGCCGATCGCGCGCGGGCGAGTGTGCTACTACTATCACATACCAGCAGCGACATCAGCCACAATAGCAGCAGGGGCGCAGCAGGAACGAGCGTCGCGCGCTGGAGTAGCAGCAGTGCGACAGAGTGTCAGAGCCGCTGACTCTCTGCAGGCTTATTACCGTAGCGACTGGTAGATCGGGAACGCGGTTTTGGGACGTCTCAAAGCAGCAGTGCGACAGAGTGTCAGAGCCGCTAACTCTGCAGGCTTATTACCGTAACGACTGGTAGGTCAGGAACGCGGTGAGCAGCAGCGATCAGGAACGCGGTCACGTGAGCAGCAGCGCGAGCAGCAGCGCGAGCAGAGATCAGAAATTCAGGTAGATTATCGAGGCAAGCCAGAGACGTGACCGGCTCCGAGTTCGCGCTAAACTGCAGTTCCTCTCGACGCGAGAAACCATCATAGTAGCAGCGCGGTCGGCGGGGCACAACAATCAACACCGACTGCCGCCCACCATGGATTTTCCATCCGTCAATACTTTGCAAGAAATTTTGTTCACCCAGCTTGCGGAAAACTCGCCCTCATCCCCCGCAATGCCGGGCCACGAGGACGCGCCGATGAGCGCAGCTTCCCGCGGCGGCGACCGCCGGAGTCAAAGCCCGAGCGCTCGTAGTAGCGCTCACGGCGCGCAAAGCGCTCAGGGCGCGCAAGCCGCCAGCCCAGCGCTGAGCGCGCAGAGCGTTCCCCCAGCCGCAGGATCTCCGCTTCTTGGAGGCGCGGGGTGGCGGAACGACGCGAGCGCGGAGGTCTCGCCGCGCGCGGCTTTTGTAGGCGAATCATCTGCGGAGCGGCAAGTTTTGTCGGAGCAGGTGGAGGTGGAGGAGATGCTTAGCGCGCCTGGTGCGGTAGGCGGCGGGCGGTACGGCGGAACTCCCGCGGAGACGCTTGCGCGGATCACGGCGCGGTTCGGGGCGAGCCAACTTGCGACGGACGCGCCGCGGTTGCTACAATCGGCGGCTGCTCACGGAGGGGAAAATGCGACGGCAGAAGCTGCGCGGTACGGCGGAACGGCACGAGAGGGCGCGGCGGAGTCAGAAGTGCGGGGAGAGTTCGGCGCGGAGGGTGCGGAGGGGGCGGAAAGCGGAATGTATGAGGGCCTGCTGGAAGCGGTGATCCGCGCGCGACCGGCGCGCGGAATGGCGGAACCGCAGCAACGAGGCGGAAGTGCCGTTACTATCACTAGCGGCGGAACGACGGAGAGGCAAGGGGTGAAGGCGGCGGCAAACGCGCCGGGCGGAAAGGCCGCGCTGATGGAAGTGTCATTAGCGGAACTTGAGGCTTCGATATCCGCGCTACAGGCATCCCTTCTACAGCAACAACAACACCACCCGCGACAGAAGGAACAACAGGCGCAGCCGCAGCAAGAGGGATTGGAGCGAGAGGGCGAGGCGACGGCGAGCGGAGAAAGGTTCCCCGCACAAGCTGACGGCGCGAGGAGCGAAAGCGCGGAACAATTCGGCCAAACCCTAAACTCGGAGCGGAATGACATTACTCATTCGAATTTCAGCACGCAATCGGTAGGGGGGAATTTCACTCCCAGCAATTTCGAGTCGTTCAACTTGAAATCATCCCAGCCGTTGCTTCGGGTGTCCGCGGAAGGTTTCAGCGGATCCCCTTTCCCCGCGTGCGCGAACGAACATGGCGCCGCTTTTGCGGCTGGCGGCGGCTGCGGCGCCGCTGATGATGACGATGTGGTGGAACCGGCGCAGCCCGCGGAAACGGCGGTATTCGCGCGGCCGCTCCCGCTTCTCTCCGCGGTGGACCCGAATCAAGAGGCAATGGTCGCGCTCGCCGCTTCCGTGTCCCCCCCAGGCGCGCCCCTCGCCATTCCGCTGCTGCAGCCCAGCGCCTCCCCCGCGCAACACGCTCCCGCGTGGGGCAGCCCCTTCCCCGCGAGCTTCGGCGCCGCCAGCGCGCGACGCGCGGCGGAAAGCCTTGAGCATCGGGCGGAACGGTGGCGCGCGCGAAATGGTGGCGCGGATACCGCCGCCGTCCCTACGACTGCGACAAGGCACGCGGCTTTCACCCGCGGCAGCGGCGGCGGCGGCGGTGGCGGCAGCGGCGGCAATGGCAGGAGCAATATCAGCGTCGGGCGAGCGATTATCATTCCCGCGAGCCTATCAAACACTTTCTCCCCCTCCTTCTCCCCCTCCTCCTCCCCCTCCTTTGCTGCCGCCTCGTCGCTCTCCCCGTCCTCCACCGCAATTCTCGGTGCTCTGCCCGCCCTCCAGCCGTCCATGCTGAACCCTGCCCGCCCGCCCTCCGATCCTGCTCGCTGCAGCCCTGCATGCCCCAGCACTGACCTTCCCTCACCAGACCGGCTCCCAACAACCGGGATGCAAGCACCAGAAGCGGCAGCAGCAGCAGCAGCAGCACGTTCAGAAGGGTGCATGCTATGTGGGATGCTAGGGGGTGATGTGAAGGTGGTGGTGGGGACGATCGGACATGCCTGCTCTACCTGCCTGGCGATTAACGAATCTGCCTTTCCCGAACCTATCTTTGCTGAGGCTTTCTCCGAGGCTATGGCCGAACCCAGTCCCCGGACCTCCTTGGCAGGTTTGGCAGCTGCCGAACCTCTACCGAACGAGCAGGTTCAGCAGGAGTTAGAAGAGGTGGGGATTCTGGGAAGGGAGATGTTGCTTCCGTCTTGGGAACAAGGGTTGGAACAACAACTGCTGCTCCTGCAGCAGCAACAGCAACAGCAGCAGCAGCAGCAACAGCAGACAAGCAGCGGAGACCTTGCTGCTGCTGTTGCTTCAGGCACCATCACAAGCACCCCTGGAACTCTTGGATTGGAAAGCACCCCCAGGACTGGCAGCAACACTCTCGGCTGTGGCAGCAGCTTTAGCCGAAGCACCACAGTCAGCAGTAGCAGGAGGAGGAGAGGCGACCTTCCCCAGATGAACCTGGATTCGTTTCTAGAAGCCACCTGCAACACCAGCACCACTGGGAACCGTTCTGGCTTTACTGCTGCGAGCAGCAACCTTCCTGCTGCTGCTATTCCTATTCCCGCCGCTGCTACTGCAGCAGTGGGGATGGAAGGAGCATCAGTAGGAGCAGCAGGAGGGGCAGGAGGAGGAGCGGCAGGTGGAGCAGGGGAGGGAAGTGGGCGGGACATACAGAGCATGATCGAGGCAAGCATCCGAGCCAACGAGTTTGCTTTGGAGCGGATGGCTGGTGAGAAGAGGTTCGGCGGGTGGCAGGGGCGGGGCAGAGGGAGCAGCGTTGGCAGCACCATGTGCAGCAGCAGCGCCATTGGCAGACCCTTCCTTGGTGCTTCTGCTGCTAGTGCTGCTGCCGGTGGTGGTGCTGCTGCTGGTTCTGCCCCTGTTGCTCCTACTTCTCCTGCTACTGCTGCTTCTTCTGGTGGTGCTGGTGCAGCTACTTCTCCTGCTCCTGCAGGGGGAAGAGCTCGTGGGTTGTCTGACCGGCCTGCATGGCAGGTGAAGCGGGGAAGGTGGTCGCAGCGGGAGCGGTGGTCTCACCACATGCGAAACCAGTACCAGAGAGAGCAGGAGGAGCGGCAGCAGCAGCAGCTGAGGGAGCAGCAGGAGCAGCAGCAGCAGCGGAGTCTGCAGCAGCAGAAGGAGCAGGAGAGGCAGCGGGAGATGCTTTTGCGGGAGTTGCTTCAGCAGCGGCAGCAGAAGCAGCAGAAGCAGCAGCAGCAGCAGCAGCAGCAGCAGCAGCAGCAGCAGCAGCAGCAGCAGCAGCAGCAGCAGCAGCAGCAGCAGCAGCAGCAGCAGCAGCAGCAGCAGCAGCAGCAGCAGCAGCAGCAGCAGCAGCAGCAGCAGCAGCAGCAGCAGGACCAACAGCAGCAGCAGTCTTCGTTCAACCACCACACCTCTGCTCCTCTATCCGGACCAGCTGCCCCTTTTCTCAACCCATGGAGCTCACAATCCATTCTTTCTTCCTCCGCCTCTGCTCCCCTTCTCTCGGCCTCTCTTTCCAATCCTCTAGGCTTTGCAGAGGCCTGCAGTTCCGCATCTGAATTTCTGGCTCGGCGGTCCCAAACGTGTGGGGTCTCCCAAACCTCTGACCTCACAGAGTATGTTGCTAGCTTGAGGGCTGGGGTTGATGCTGCCGCCGCTGCCAGCACTGCTGCGGCTGCAGTTGCTGCTGCTAATGTTGTTATTGCCACCTCTGCTGCAACAACTGAGGAGATTTCTGCCCCAGCCGCACCGGCTGCTGCTGGTCCTCTCGCACCCTCTATGCCAGCACCTCTCTTCACTCCTTCAAACCCCCTTCCGCTTCCTAGCTCTGCTGGCTTCCGAGCCACTAGCCAAGCTGACAGGATCCTGGCAGCTGCGAATCTGGGCCTGGTAGGCTTGGGCCAAACCTCCGACTCTGCGCTGGTGCTGGTCCCAGGTCTGGCAGCCTCTTGTGGTTCACTTTCTGACTCATAAAAGCTGTAAGGCTAAGGGTCAGGGAGCTAAAACATATTGAAGTGCCAGTGTTCACTCTTCTGTCAAGGAAGCACGTCTATGGAAAACAAGCATTTAATTATGTGAGATGTAAGATTGTAGCACTGACCATTTTGTGCTGTGAGTGGTTGTTTAGGAATTAATCAATGGGCTGTCTTCATTGTTAGTGTGATCTTTTGTATGAGGGTGTGTCACCCGCCCTGAAATGGGCAATTCTCAGACCGACCACTCGTGATTCCTTGTGCGATACAGTACAGTTCAGCATCAAAACCGCGTGCGTGACCCTCCAGCCCAACAACCGCGTCAGGAATCTAGGAAAAAACAAATCCAGCTCGATGCATTTCATGGAATTTTTGCGGCGTGATCCAACAACAGGCTGTACATATCTTTGTTGCATTCGTTGCACCAAATGCGGCGCTGTGGTTGGCTCAAGCGCAGTGAAGGTTGCCACAAACTGTGGGCAGTATCTGTTCAAAATTTTCCTTTGTTTGGCCTTTTCTGTAGATAACGCCACGTCGTCGTTCCAGTCACAACGGAAATTCGGCAGTTGTATGTTTTTCTTCGAATTCATTGGTTCCTTGTTCAACAGCACCTTTCGGCCATTGAAATGTCATTGCCAGCGTGGCCTCACGCACACCCTGGCAGGTGCTGCGAAGCACACATTCGTGAATTACAGGGGGGGGGGGGGGGCGGAAAGTCTGCCTTGAAGACGTGGTATGATTGGTGATTTACATAGCTCTTTGAGGCGCCTCAAGCGAAGTCATGCTTCCGGCCCCAGGAAAACTCGCTTCTTCCGCCGCTTTGATGACTCTCGCTTCGGTTCCAAACCGGGTCAGTCCAGCACGCAGGGCCATCAAAAGTTCGGCAGACATTTCCTAGCCTTTCTTTCCAAACTAACTCGAAGTGAACCACTGTAGAGACCTCAAACCACGCATGGAACCGAGCTTTGTTGGCTTGCCTGAGACTGGCTTGGTTGGTTCGGTTCACCACGGATGTTCACCGAACCCCTGCGCTGCCTCCTCGTCCCGCAGCTCCATTTCGCTTGCCGTAGTGCACCCGTCAAACTCCCTTCATTGCAGTCTCATCCAATGCCCGTTCAGGTTCAGATTCAATTCCCAGGCTTGCTTTCCTCCTCCCCCTTCATTCACATGTCCCCTCACTCGCTCGCTCACTCACGGATACACGGATGCATCGCGCCCGCTCATTCCTTCATTCCCTCATTCCCTCACTCACTCCCTCACTCACTCACTCACTCACTCGCTCACACTGTAGGCTGTGCATCCCACGCCTGATACCTGTGAATCCCTCATTACTGCTTGTGTGGGCAGAAGCCCACACGAGACCTTCAATCAGAGCTGTCTGTGAGCCAGAAAAGCACAGCAGGGCCCTCCTGCACCTCTTGTGAAGGAAGCTTTGCTAGGTTCCTTCATTCATATCCTGTTCCGCTGCTTGCTACTCAGCTTTTCCTGATCAATTAGGCTGTTGGTTAGGCCAGACACTAAGTCTGGGCCCACCCTCCACGTCCGCTTATCTCACACGGCTCTACCTGGTTACGATAAATATTCGTGGTCTGTTTTCTTTCCGTATATTTCGTGGTCTGCTGCGACCTTGGCTTCCTACAGCAGCCGCTGTCACCTTTGGCTTCTTCTCCATCCTCCTCATCTGATCTCTCATCCGTGATCTCATCTGCCAAGGCGACTCCTTGAGTTTTGATTTGTTTTTTTTCTTAATTTAACGTACTGCTGTCCAGCGGCCATGGATTTCGCCATGGAGGATCACCGCCGTCCCCGTCGATCCCTCCAGCTCGACCAACTCGAGCGCCCGTCCCATAACCCGATACTAGAAAATTCGTTATACTCTCCGTATGCGGCGCAGATCTCCCGGCGCGGCCGGCGCTCGCTCGACGCGACAATCCACACCACAAATCCTCATCAGCAGCAGCAACAGCAACAACAACAGCAGCAGGAGCATCTGGGCCGTCCGATCTACGTGCCGTGTCGCGAAAGCAGCGTCCACGCGCATCCCGACGCGGAGGCCTCGCAACACAGCTCGGAAAGCGGCGACGAGGTTTGCTCAGGGCAGAGCCTCGCTACTACTACTAAGATTACTATGAAGTCCAATTTTGGTGTTGCTTCTGCTACTGCCACTGCTACTACCGGTCTTCAACGGCCGCAAACGGCTGCCGGCATCATGAACGACCCTTTCCCGCCGGAAGCGGCGTATTTCCCGGCAAGGGACCGCGGCGCGGCGGAATACATGAACGTCGACGAGCCCGCGCGCTTCGGCGCAGCGGTTAATGCTCCAGCCAACTTTGGCGCAGCTTCCCCCTGGAATTTTGGCGCCGCTGCACCCGCCGCTGCGAGAGCGGACACCAAGGCGTTTGCGCCGCCGGTGCCGCCGGCGGCCAACCGGCGGGTCCGGGCAAACAGCGCGACGCTTCCGGCGGCGTTTGGAGGGGAGCAGGGGGCGGCGGAGTGGGTGGATTGGTCGAACGTGGATTGCGCGTTCCGCCCCGATGGTCTCATGCAGGCGCGCGCCGCCATGATCGAGCAGTGCCGGCAGAACTCGCGGCGCGCGGCGATGGGCGCGTCGGTCCCGATGATGGCGGACTAAGAGCCTGCTGGGGAGACATGAGGCTGCATGGGTCTACGTAAGCTAGCGAAAGCTCGTCCAGGCTTGCGAAGGTTCATGCAGGTTCGTGCAGGATCGGGCAGGTTCGGGCAGGTTCGGGCAGGCTTGTGTTCATGCTGCTGCTGCGATCGAGCAGTGCCAGCGAAACTCCCTGGCGATCCGCTGTCTATCGCGCGTCGGTTTTGATATTGGCGTATCATGGAGCTCGCGGCGTGAGAGAAATGGGTTTAAACGCGTGCTTAGTGATAGTCTCAACCCGAGATGTCGGGAAATGCTACTGCTGCATGCATGTTTGCTTACCGTTACTTGCGGTAGTTGCAGCATGGTACTAGTATGTATGAGTAAGAGCCTCTGTCCTATCATGATCGTGTGAGTTTAGTAGGGTCATCTTGCACGAACTAGTCAACCTTGATTTATGAGATGGAGTTTTTAACTCGGTTCTTGTGATGGTTTTTATTCGGATTACCTTAGCGTTTATAACGGCTTGCCTCTGTGCTTATTAAAACTGAGCTGAAATTGATCGTTGCCGTAACTGTGTCTAAACCAAGTGCTCTTTAGAAGCACGCACGGGGTACACTCGCACCGCGACAGCCATGGCACGGATGCAATGATCGCGTCGCGGAATCACAAGTTATAACGGCACGCTCAGGAACACGCTACGCAATTATATAGAGGTTCCGCGGGATGCGGGGGTTCGAAACTGCCAGGATATTCTGATTAGCTCGACGTTATCCGTCTCAACTGGAGGACTCACGAACCCGATTTCCACAACCGAGTTGCTGACCCTGACCCGGATGTCCGGACGTCCGACGGAGACGTAGGCGTAGACGTAGACGGAGACGGAGGCGTAGACGGAGAATAGACGCGGTTCCTTACTCTGATCCCATTTCTGACGTCTCTGCGCATTCCGCACGGAAACGTTTGCGAACGTTGAGTTCGCGTCTCACGGTTCTCCATTCACGCGTTGCCTTGCCGTTGACCTGACCCGACTCGACTCCCCTCGGACCTGCCATCTCGAGAGGCAACCAGGGGTGAACGGCATTATAAGAACGCGCGCTTCAGAAACTCGCGTCGCGCGTGGCGCGGCGCGTCGCTGGCACTAATAGCAGAGAGGTGGCTTGCCCAGCGTAGGTCCCTTCCTAGCAAAAGGCGATACTGTTAGTGACGAATCGCCAGCAGCTTTTTTGTTTTTTTTGTTTTTTCTGCTGTTCTAATACAAAGTTGACCGAAGTTGACAGCAGGGAGGCTACAAAAGTTTGAGAACTGCTCTCAGAATGGCTCTCAGCTCGCTTGCACCGGTCAGAACCCTCCTTTCAACTCGCCAACTACTGCGGTGCAGCAGCGCGTGGCACGCGGCTCCGGGGTTGATTACACCCGTACGATGTGGCCATAGAGAGCAGCGCTTTTCAAGTGCTCTGTTGACAGGTACGCGACACGAGCTTTAAGGATACGCATGGGACCCACGAACCCACGTGTGTGTGACCCCCCCACTTGCACGAACCCACGTGTGTGTGACCCCCCCACTTGCACGAACCCACGTGTGTGGGACCCCCCCACTTGCACGAACCCACGTGTGTGGGACCCCCCCACTTGCACGAACCCACGTGTGTGGGACCCCCCCACTTGCACGAACCCACGTGTGTGTGACCCCCCCACTTGCACGAACCCACGTGTGTGCGACCCACCCACTTGCACGAACCCACGTGTGTGCGACCGCTCCTGCATTTCAACCTCCGTGCTTCCCCTGTTCCCTTGCGCAGTGCAGGCGCGCGCGGGGAGGCGCGAGTCTGGGGTTTCCCTTGGTGGCGCACGAGGGAAAGGGGAGGGGCGGAACCCCCTGTTGGCGGGAGTGAGTGGGGAGGAGCAGGAGACCGCTCGCCGAGTGCTAGAGCTGGTGAGAGGGGGGAAGGGAGGCGTTCACTCGCCTCCTACTCACTGCTGCACTCCGCCTTCCTATCCCCCGCATCCCAAGCCGCCATCATGCCTCACCTCTCTGCCATCCCCTCTGATGTTGTATCTCTCAGTTTCCTTCTCCCTTATCACACCGCCACACACCTGGCCGTTCGCTCCCTCGACTCCTACGCACTGCTGCACTCCGCCTTCCTCTCCCCCATTGCTCGTGCTTTCCCCCTTCTCCCCCTCTCTCTCTCTCTCCCTCTTCATCTCAGGCTGATCGCTCCCTCGCCTCCTATTCAGTGCTGCACTCCGCCTTCCTCTCCCCCATTGCTCGTGCTTTCCCCCTTCTCCCCCTCTCTCTCTCTCCCTCTTCATCTCAGGCTGATCGCTCCCTCGCCTCCTACTCAGTGCTGCACTCCGCCTTCCTCTCCCCGGCCTCTCAAGCCGCCATCATGCCGATCCTCTCCAACATGGCTGACGTCACTGCCATCCTTTCAGGCGGATACTTCCAGGTGCGTGGGTACCCATTTCTCCCCTTCCAGCAGTGGCTACCGTTTCCCTTTTCTTTCTTCCGCCTTCCAAGCCGCCATCATGCCGATCCTCTCCAACATGGCTGACGTCACTGCCATCCTCTCTGGTGGTTCCTTTCAGGTACGTGAGTGCAGTTACTTTTGAGTTGACTAGAGTCCAGGTGTGGTTACCTGGTCTTCCTCTCCCCGGCATCCCAAGCCGCCATCATGCCGATCCTCTCCAACAGGGCTGACGTCACTGCCATCCTCTCTGGTGGTTCCTTTCAGGTACGTGAGTGCAGTTACTTTTGAGTTGACTAGAGTCCAGGTGTGGTTACCTGGTCTTCCTCTCCCCGGCATCCCAAGCCGCCATCATGCCGATCCTCTCCAACATGGCTGATGTCACTGCCATCCTTTCAGGCGGATACTTCCATGTACGGATATCCTCCCTTCCTCTGCCTGTCTGGCTGTTACTTACAGGCATGTGGGTACCCCTCCCCTTCCTCTCCCCGGCCTCCCAAGCCGCCATCATGCCTCTGCTCTCCACTGACGTTACTTCCAGGTATGTGTGTGCAGTGACTTTTGAAGGGGCTCAAAAAGTCGAAGTGTATGGGTGCCCGTCCCTGCCCTCCCTTCGCCTGTTTTACTCTGTAACTTAATGGTACACAAGCCACCTGTTCCTCCTCCCTTTCCCCCCATGCTTCCATCAAATGCAACAGGCAGAGAGGTGCAGGATCTCAGTGGGGCCTGCAGAGCTGATGGCAGCAGAGGGAGTGGATGCAGGTGCTGCTGCTGGTGGTGCTGCTGCCATGGGGTTACCATGTAACCCTTGTTCCATATTCTCCCCTTTGACCCTTTTTTCCCCCCCTCAGGCAGAGCGGTGCAGGGTCTCAGTGGGGCCTGCAGACCTGATGGCAGCAGAGGGAGTGGATGCGAATGCGGGTGTTGCTGCTGATGGGACAAGCGATGCTATACCAGCGCTGGCAGCTGGGTACCCAGGCGCCGTTGCCGCAGTGAGGTGAGGTGATGATTTCACATGCCTGTGCTCATAGTAGCTTACTGTTGAGTTTTAAGGCGCCTCAAAACTCAAGTCAATGTGTGAGGTGATGCTTTCACATGCCTGTGCTCATAGTAGCTTACTGTTGAGTTTTAAGGCGCCTCAAAACTCAAGTCAATGTGTGAGGTGATGCTTTCACATGCCTGTGCTCATAGTAGCATTCCTAGTAGCATTCCTAGCAGCACACCTAGCAGCGTCCCAAAATTTGGAGATTCGAGAGACGTCTCAAAACTGGTAGCTGGGTACTTAGGCGCCACTGCAGCAGTGAGTTGATGCTTTTACATGCCCTTAAACAATGTGCTTAATACTTATGCCACCTGCGAGAGGGAGGGAGGGAGTACAGTTTCAACTGTTAACCTTTGCGCAGTTGCAGCAGTAGTGCCGTGAGCAAGGATACACCTCCGATATCTGAACCTCCTTCCCCTCCTCCTATCCCTCATCTCCCTTCCTTTTCCATCCTTCCCCTTTCACGGGCTATTAGGCGCGTTCAAGAAGGCATCATGTGACATGGTGACTTCCTGGGAGCACTGCTGGGGAGATATGCTGATATGCTGGGATGGGAACAGGGATGCATCACACTCACCCCTACCTACTTCCCCTGCTGTCCTTCCGCTCCCTTCTGCCTCCTTCACTCCCAACTCGCCGTCTTTCCCCACTTATGCCCCGTTCCCCCCACAGGGTATCAGGTTCGTGCGTTCAAGCGGCCATCAGTGACGCACGGTGGTCTCCTGGGAGCAGTGTGCATGTCTCATTCGTGGGACGCGGATGCATCTCGTATGTCTGATCTGAATCTTCTTCGCCTCCTATCCCCCGTCTCTTGAGGCGCCTTAAATCGCGGATGCATCTCGTATGTCTGATCTGAATCTTCTTCCCCCCCTATCCCCCGTCTCTGTCTTTCTGTTCTTTCCTGCTTCCTCCTCTCGCCTTTCCCCTCCATCCCCCGCCCACAGGGTATCAGGCGCCTTTAAGCAGACATCAGTGTCGCATGGTGACTTCCTGGGAGCAGTGCTGGGGACGGGGATCACAAGAGACAAAGTTGGCGATATTATTTTGCTGGTGAGGTGTTGGTGGTGCTCACTTGTAGCATGGTTGTGGGATAGAGAGGGGATGGTGTGCATGGTGCTGAGGAGGGAGATCACAAGGTCTTGGTGCTGGGAACGGGGAACAGACACAAAGTTGGCGATATTATTCTTCTGGTGAGGTGTTGGCGGTGCTCACTTGTAGCATGGTTGTGGGAGAGGGAGGGGATGGTGTGCATGGTGCTGGGGACAGGGATCACATGGTGCTGGGGACAGGGATCACATGGTGCTGGGGACAGGGATCACAAGAGACAAAGTTGGTGACTTCATTCTTCTGGTGAGCCCACGCTACGTTTACTCGGATACGATACGAGACGCAAGTATTACTCAATGTTTGAAACTCATTGTCATCGCACCCACCAACCTGCGAGAGCATTTCACATCATTCTCACCTGGTGCACCCGCAACCCTGCCTCTCCTTCTCTTCCTCTGATTCACGTCCCACAGGAGGGCGAGGGAGCACAGGTCATTATCATGCCAGACACCTACAAGAAGTTTTGCTCTCCTCGTTCACCCCATGCCCCCTCATCTCCTCTCCTCTCCTCTCCCCCTCACTATCACCCCACAGGAGGGCGAGGGAGCACAGGTCATTATCACGCCAGACCTACAAGACTTTCTGCTCTCAACACTCACCGCTCTGCACCGCGTGCCAGTCACCGTACAGCCCATTGCTCTCTCCGACCTCAGTGTGTCCCCTCCCAGGTGAGCTCTCTCTCCCTTATCACCCGTGAGAGAATGTGCTGTGGTTCGCACATTAGTTAGTACCACTCATCACTCACCGCATTGCATGCGTGCCAGTGACCATGCAACCGATTGCTTTCCCCGACCTCAGTGTGTCCCCTCCCAGGTGAGCTTTCTCTCCCTTATCAACAGTGAGAGAATGTGCTGTGGTTCGCGCATTAGTACCACTCATCACTCATCTCTCACCGCACTCCACCGCGAGCCAGTCACCTTGCAGCTCATCGTTCTCTCGGATCTCATATAAGCTTATCTTCACTCCCAAGTGAGCTCTCTCTCTTCCACCCTTCGACCTCAGTGTGTCTCCCTCCTTACTATCTTCCATTCCTTTCTTGTAGACTTCTCCTTTCCTCCATTGCCCTCCATTCTATGCGTGTCCTGCCACCTGTTCCTCTCCTGCCTATCTTCTCCTCCTGTCACCATCTGCTTTTAATTTTGTGTTTTGATACGTCTCAAAACCATCTGCCTTTTATTTCGTGTTTTGAGACGTCTCAAAACCATCTGCTTTTGATTTCCAGCTTCTCCCTCCAGAATCGACACTCTCCGCACGGCGGAAGCCTCCTTGCGTCTCGACACTTCTGCCAGTGCTGCCATCACACACTCCCCCTTTCCCATCGCCCATTCCTATCCGTCGATCCCCCCCCCCCCCCCCTTCCCTCTCCCACCAGGATTGACACTCTCCGCACGACGGAAGCTTCCTTGCGTCTCGACGCCGTTGCCAGTGCTGCATTCCGCCTCTCCCGCTCCAAGTTCACCGACCTCATAGCGTGAGCTCCCTTTAGCTCTCTTTCTCTCTGTGTGAGCTCACGTGGTCTGCCTGCTTGTGATACGCTCAGTAGTAGCGTCCCGCATCCAGAGCTCTCACCAGTGCTGCATTCAGCCTCTGCTGCTCCAAGTTAACCGACCTCATAGCGTGAGCTCCCTTCACAAACGCGTGCAGTATATTCGTTTGAGTGGTAAACAGAGAGAGTCTGCCCAGCCAGACGTTGTGCTGTGTGTTCAACTTGTGTGAAGAGTATACTTTTGAGTCCACTCAAGAATAGGCTCTTCGCAATGGTGTGCAGTATATCCGTTTGAGTGTTAAACAGAGAGAGTCTGCCCAGCCAGACATCGTGCTGTGTGTTCAACTCCTCTTGTTCACCTCCCTTCCTGCTCCATCCCCCCCTTGCCGCCCCTTGCAACACGAAACCCTGCTCTTTTAGAAAATGGGAAGTGCGAGTGAAATGGAGGGAGGCGACTTAAGTCAGGAGTGGTGCTGAAGACCGGTGATGTGAAAGTCTCACTTCCTCCTCCCCTTGCCCTTGCTGCCCCGTACTGCAACCCCAATCCTTGATATTCCAGCAAAGGGGACGTGCGGGTGAATTGGAGAGAGGCGACTAAGTCAGGGGTGGTGCTGAAGACCGGTGATGTGGTGTCGGTGCGGGGGAAAGGAAGATGCAAGGTGAGAAAGAGGGGGTTGTCGGGTTAGGAGTTTGGACGAAGGGGTACAATCTGAGGGCAAAAAAATAGGCCAAGTCAGAAGTGGTGCTAAAGAGTGGTGAAGTGGTGTTGGTGCAAGGAGAGATGCAAGGTGGGAAACGAAGGGATTTGGACGGTAAGGGGCAGTGAAAGGAATTGAGTGTGTTGTCACTAATTTTTGTGCTTTAATATCAACACTCTGTTCCCCATGCTTATGCCTGACGCAGATTGGAGAGGTTACAACCACCAAGAAAGGACGGTTTGCAGTGGAGATCACGAGATATATTTGATGATTTTTGTAGTTCGTACACAAAATCTGTTGCGTATATGAGCAATTTACCCAGCAAAGCATACAAATGCTGAAGATTCTGATATGTGCACATGCGCAAGATGGTAAATAACCATTCGACAGCCTTAGTGCACATGCCGTCTTTTTTCTCGGATCATGTATTAACGAGATTGGTCGATTTTGACGCCTTGAAATTTCGTTCTTCCCATCATATGGGCGTTGGCCCCACCAACCACGTTTGACACTGCAGCATCCCCTAGGGCCCCCTACGGTCTACGGTCTGGTGCACTCTACTCTACACGCACAACAAGACATCAAGCCAGCAACATCATCACATCGTCCGAACTGGGATAGGCTCGACTATTTACCGAGCCACCTCCGTAGGCAGCAAGAGTGGCCAGATGAATGCCCTCCCAAACCAATCGGGCAGATCGAGTCCGGCACAAGCAACCACCTCAATCTTGGCTCGGAAGTGCAGTACGAGCCTGAGCCATCAGAACCCTTCATATATCGCTGGGGGCTTCGTTTTCTTTAGTTTCTCTTTCAAAGCCTTGAGAGTTAGGCTCTGTGCTCTTCTCAAGCATAACTCTGCTTAGCCGTGCACAGCTTATCCTAACGTCGAGGACGACTGGGTCAAACTTTTAAGCGGTCAATAGTTTTCCGTGGTTCATAGAAGTGAAATTGCTTAAATTTGTTTTAGTAGCACTATCGCCATGGCGGAACCCTCGCCAGCACTGCCGAGCCAAACAGCCATGGTGCTTGACGAGGGGAGCCAACCAGTCGATCTAGTCAAGCACCCCTCGGGAATCGTGCCTGTACTACAGTATGTTCCTTTCCCACCATAAATGTCGGTCTTACTTTGTTACGAGGCCGCTTGAAGCCTGGCATATGCTCTGAAGGGCATGGGTTTGAATTCGACGTACTCGTCGGCGAGTGGGTTGTCTCTTACTCTTTTACCCTTGCAGAAACATAGTCTCTACAGTCAACATGGATTGTCGGTTGGATTTGAAAGAGATTGCACTCCGAGCTCGAAACGCTGAGTACAACCCTAAGGTATGGAATCGGCCACGGTGGCGTCCCTAGTTAGACGTCTAAGTAAGTAGGTATAGAGGACAAGCCTTAACTGCGGGGGATGTCGGTTATCAAGCTTCCACCTCTATTGTAGGGATGGTTACTGTTGAGCCCCTGGAGGAGCTTGTTTGATCAGACCGTGGTTTTAACTAGGCCTACTGGCGAGCCGCAATGGTTGAGTGTTTGTGTTTAAGCATTGAAGAACGGTCAAGTCTATGTTTCTGGACTCTGTTTTTTCCTCTCCATGTCTACAGCGTTTCGCAGCTGTCATCATTCGGATACGCGAACCCAAGACTACAGCTCTAGTGTTCGCCTCTGGGAAAATGGTAAGGAGCCTGCTTGTGTGGTGAATCCGATATCGTCTCGAATCCGCACTTCTGTTCGTGGTGTCTTAGCTTTTTAACCCTTAGATTGCATCAATTTCTCTATTTTCTATCCGCTTCCGGATGCATCAGGTGTGCACGGGCGCGAAGAGTGAAGAGCAATCGCGGCTAGCTGCTCGCAAGGTAACTTGTACTTGTAGTTTTGGCCTCATGTCATTGTTGTCCCTTCCCTTATTTCCCCATTTTTCCCTTTCCCGTCTCCACCACGCTTCCCTCTTCTTGGAATGCTTTTTGTGAGGCGCACAGGGTCAGTGCTCTTGTGATCGTCCTTGACTCTTCTCCCTGTGTTTCCTTTCATGGCAGTATGCTCGTATTATTCAAAAGCTTGGCAACGACCAAGTGAAGTTCAAGGTATGCCGTGTCTCGTCTTGGTAATGTCATCCAAGCTATTGTTGCAGTCATTCTTATTATTGGACGCGCTGTTGCGGATAAGCGCTTCTATTTGTTGACTTGTATTTTCCATCGATTGTTGCTGACACGCTCCTACGGTGCCTGATATCTGATCCTCACATCTTTCAGGATTTCAAGATTCAAAACATCGTCGGTTCTTGCGACGTACGCTTCCCCATTCGATTAGAAGGACTTCAGATTGCACATCAACAGTTTTGCAGCGTAAGTTTTTCCAATGACAAACTCAGCCTTTGTTGTGGTGTGCACCTTGCGTAGATTATCTTCGCCTCATAAGTGTATTATTGCCTCGGATCATTCTATGCACTTGTACATTTCATCTTAATGTGTGTTTTCTCCCTCACGGTACTTCCTTTGTCGCTGCCCCTCTTTTCAACCATGCTGCAGTACGAGCCAGAGCTTTTCCCTGGCTTGATATACCGCATGAAGCAGCCTAAGATCGTGCTCCTCATTTTTGTGTCAGGGAAGATCGTTCTTACTGGTGCCAAGGTGCGTTATAGTGCGCAGTGTGTGCGTAGGTCTCCTGGGTGTGTCCTAGGGATATTTACCTTTGTCCCTCTTTTCTTTGCATTTATTTTCTGTGAACGTCATTTTTTGTGTCACGTTGTTTCTGCAGGTGCGAGATGAGATCTACCAGGCGTTTGAGAACATCTATCCAGTGCTCAACTTATACAGGAAAATACAAGCAGGTGAGTTTACTTATATGACAGCCTTTGCAGTTGGTGCAAGTACCAGCTATATTATGGCCGGAAACGGTTTATTTGTATGTTATGTAGTGTATCTACATCGGGGGGGGGGTGTCTCGGTGTGTGTGTGTATGTGTGTTTGCATTGTGTGTGGACGTGTGTGCACATTTGTTGTGTGAAGTGAACTTGCAATCCCTCTTGACCTGTTGCCCTGCGTACAGAGCCATTGCCACCTCCTGCGGAGTCATGAGTCAAGCAAGGGGATCCACAACTGCATACTGTTGCCCTGCCATCAGGTTATGGGCTCCTACAAGATGGCTAGTGTATTTACAAGGAGATGTGGAAATCACCTGACAAGCAGCTTTTGCAGTGATGAGATTGAAAAGGTGGTCTCATCTGCCTCCGTGCTACACCAAAATACTTGACGATTCGGGGTGACAACCACTTCTCATTTCCGATGTACACCTATGCACTTGCTATGTAGTTGGGAGTCCCATATGAATTTCTCAGCTACGCCTGTCTCCTTGAAAACATCACGAGCATAAGCCATTCACACCTGAAATGCTGTACCGATGCCACATTTGCTGACTGCCACATTTAGCAGATTACATTCTACGAATGGCTCTCATCATCGCCGGAAAATCGTGCACTTCTGGAGCCCAGCGTCGCACACCGCTCAGTTGGGTCAAGCACGGTTTCTCGCGCCCCAAAGCTTTGAAAAGCATTCAACCGCACAACACCGTGGTACATTGAATGTTAGCAGGATGCCATTCAGCCAATTCGAGTATTGACTGACTGAAGAATCAAATTCCGAGTCCGCCATTTCTCCACTCCACTAGCACACCATGGAGATCAGTGAATAGATCAGTGAGTTAGATCAGTGTGAATCCTACTACTTACGGTTTGAAGCACATTACAGTAGCTGGTTTCCCATAACCAGCCATAGGAAATCATAAGCAATTCAAGAAGTTTTGCACGTTGCTTACGCACAAGCGCGCACCATGGCTGTCATCCCGTTTCTCGGAACACTGGCTGCTGTCCTAGTTGCCGTTTTCGTCGGCTTGCAGTCGCACTTAAACTCCAGCGATTTCCGTCCGCTCCCCTTCCACCCTCCTCCGCCTCCCGCTCCTGTCGGACCGTTTGCCGCTAACGACCGGCTACTTGCCGTTAAGAAACTTGCTCTGGGAAAAGTTCGCGGTCCGGAAGATGTTCTTCCTGACGCTGAGGGAAACTTATACTCGAGCGACGCGAATGGATGGATCAAGATTTTGAAGAAAGGCGACGTGGAGCCTCGTGATTGGGTGCACGTAGGCGGGCATCCGCTGGGGCTTGCGTGGCGGAACGATGGGCGGGAATTGGTGGTTTGCGAGGCCATGAAGGTGCGCCGAAGAGAGCAAAGTCAATAGGTGAATTCTAAAATCACAAGTAACTTGTCTTTTGGACGTCACATACCTATTTTTACTCTCAGAGACGGGAGAGATCAGCACCTGTCAAAAACCTTTTCCCCTCTCTATTGTCGCTCCCCTCTAGGGTCTCCTCTTAGTGGACGTGGCAACTCGCTCCATTCGTCTAATCTCCAATTTTGTTCAGTCGACTCAGAAGTCAATATTGCTTCACTCTCTGTTGTCCCTCTCCCGTTGAGTCGAATCAGAAATCTACCTTGTTCCACTCTCTGTTGTCTCATTCCCATCCCCAGGGTCTCTTCCTAGTGGACGTGGCGACTCGCTCAGTTCGTCTGATCTCCAATTCCTCCAATGGAATTCCATTCAGGTCTCACGCTCCCTTCACCTGCACACTGATTCCCTCCTCTTCGAATCCCTGTGCTAGTCAAGTTCGGTCATGTTCAGTCATATTTTGTCATGTTTAGTCTTGTCCTGTCCATGGTTACCCCTTTCAGCTGATTGGTCTGTCGTCGTTTTACATCTTTTTTGTAGCCTTCCCCCTGTCCGTCCCTTCAGAAATCTGACCTTTTTATACCTGCCCTCACCCTGTTTGCTGACTGCCGTCAGAATAACCGACAACGCTGACGTGGCAAGCGACGGAACCATATACTTCTCAGATGCTTCCTCGCACTCTCCTATCTCACATTTCTTCCTCGACATTGTGGAACAAAGGCCCTACGGCCGCCTGCTAAGAATCAACCCAGACGAGCAACAAGCTGAGCTGGCAGATGAGCCACGTCATCAAGGAGATGATGATGCCACGTCAGCGACTGCAATGTCAGCAGGGACTGCCAGCGAGGCGGGGCCTGTCGAGGCTGAGACGCTTCTGGATGGGCTCTACTTTGCGAATGGAGTGGCGTTGTCGCAAAATGAGGACTTTGTTGTGGTGGCTGAAACTAGCAGGTGGGCAGATGTAAATAGACAATTTTCTCTGCGAGTACTGTCTGGGTCGGTATTTTGCAAATGGACTGGCGTTGTCACAGAATGAGGACTTCGTTGTGGTGGCTGAAACTAGCAGGTACGCAAAGGATATTTAAAAATCCCTCAAGTACTGTTTCTGTCGGCTTTAGACGGGGCAGCTTTATGGTTCACCCCAAATTTCCCTCTACAGTGCAATAACTGGCCTGATCCGGTGGGATTTGGGGTTTACGTAATATGGCAATTCACTTGACCATCTTCGTCTGTCTGCCCCCCTTCTGCAGGTATCGCCTGACCCGCTATTGGCTCAAAGGACCGAAAGCGGGCACGTCGGAAATCTTTCTGGACAACCTGCCCGGGTTGCCTGACAATGTCAACAGCAACAGGAAGGGCCTCTTCTGGGTGTGCCTTGTGATTGTAAGTTGCGATGAGCCCTCTGCTTCTAACGCATGCAAACTCACACCACCAGCAATTTGAAAGGCTTTTCTCTAAGTGCCTTGTCATTGCAAGGAGATTCGGCTCGGAGCAATACTTTCCAGCCTCACCTACCCACGAGCAAGCAGAAGTGTTTTGTTCTTCTTCTTTTCTCTAATGATTGCCCTCATGTCCTCTTGCCTTTTTAAGTACCTCGTCTCGTATTGCCCACTTTGTTGCTGCTGTGGCAAGTGAATCTCGGCTGTATCTCACTTACTCCTCACCCTACCGCCCCCTTCCTCTCCCGTTCTTTCTCTCCATTCCATCCCTCCCACCTCTTTCTGAACTTTCCCCTGCCCCTTCCCTTCTTCCTCGCTCCCCTCCTCACACACCACCACACAGCCGCGGCAACCTGTCATGGACCTGATCCATCCCTTCCCTCTCCTGAAGGCTCTCATTGGCCTGTTGCCTCTCAAGTACCTCCAGCCGCCCTTTCTCGCTCCCATGATGCGCCATGCTGGCGCTGTGCTGGCGGTGAATGAAGACGGGCAGGTTGTGAAAGTTCTTAGCGACCCGACAGCGAAACATGTTGGGGGGTTCACAAGTGCCCGCGAGGTTGATGGTGGAAAGGAGCTGGTGTTTGGCAGCCTGCTGAACAATTTTATTGGTCGAGTTGCTGTAAAATGATGAACCCTGTGCCTCAAAGTAAATACTGCCATATTCCCATCTTATAAGCATGCACAGCATACGAAGCTCTAGTTGTGCTCCCAAGTTCTGTTGGGCTAGCATCTGGAAATAACGAATACAAGTGTATCATGGTGCTTGGCACACTGACCGTCTGCTTTAGAAACATTTTAGAGCACAACCAGACTTTAGCGTGTCGTTGCTCAAGCCCCACAAGAAGTATGCCGCTATACCCTCCCAAACTCTCAGATGGTAATTCATGCAACGGTTAGGCGGCATTGGACAATGCAGGTCCTAGCATTGTTTATGATTTACCTCTTGAAGTGTTTAGTGGTGGTAGCCATACAGCGGTGAGGATTACACAGGTAGTAGCTACCTAGTTTACTGCCATGAGTTCTTGTCAAGCATCAGTTGTCATCTTCATCCTCACGTTGCGTTCCCTGTCTGTGTCAGCCTTTACCTTGGAGGATCCTGTGACCTGAAGGCAGAACGCAGAAGTGCGGCGTTGGCTCAAAAGGACGTGGTAACCATACTTGCATGCCAAGGAAATTTCACTAAGAATGGCGACATTCCATGGCAAACGTATTAACCTAACAGACGCTTAATCTATCAGAAGCACAGCACGCGCTTCGTTTAGACAACCTTGGAGGTGGAGACGATGAGGTCCACGACACGGTTGCTGCAAGAAAAAATCAAGGAAACAGGCCGTGTTACGTGTCTGATTTAGATACAGAAGATCGTGTCAGGTGAGTTCGCGTTGCGGCAGCACATACCTGTATCCCCACTCATTGTCGTACCACGACACCAGCTTCACGAAGTTGTTGTTCAGGGCAATACCAGCTTTGGCATCGAAGATGCTCGACCTGGAAACAAGAGATGACACATTCATCACTTTCCGCAATTCAACCGCAAAGCAAATCTAAATCTTCCTTACAAATGCAAAGCATACCTGTCATCACCGATGAAGTCGGCGGACACCAGATCCTCATCCACATAGCCGAGAATGCCCTTCAGAGCACCCTCGGACTCGGCCCTGAGAAGACAGAACAGAATGTTCAGTTTCGTTCACATGCATGTTCAAATGTTTGTTTGTTCGCGATGAAATGTGCGATGGCTTACTTGAGAGCAGCCTTGATCTCATCGTAGCTGGCACCCTTCTCCAACCGCACGGTGAGGTCGACCACGGAAACGTCAGCGGTGGGGACGCGGAAGGCCATGCCGGTGAGCTTGCCGTTGAGGGCGGGAAGCACCTTGCCGACGGCCTGGAGGAAGAATCGACATAGTTGGTCAGATTCATGTGGTCACGGCACAAACATCCCAGTATCGTGGATTGAGTCACAAGCGTTGGAGTCACAAGCGTACCTTGGCAGCACCAGTACCGCTGGGAATGATGTTGAAGCCAGCACCACGGCCACCGCGCCAGTCCTTGTTGGAGGGACCGTCGACGGTCTTCTGCGTGGCAGTCACGGCGTGGACGGTGGTCATGAGACCCTCAACGATGCCGAACTTATCGTTGATGACCTGCGATCCGGATGGACACGAAACTATACATCAGCACAGAAATCCTTCCAGAACAAATGATATTGATGAAACAAAGTCGTCTTTCAGCGTAGGAAAGAATGTTTAAAGGACGGACCTTGGCAATAGGTGCAAGGCAGTTGGTGGTGCAGGAGGCGTTAGAGATGATGTTCTGGTCGGCAGTGTACTCGGTGTGGTTCACACCCATGACGTACATCCTGCATGGGAAAAGAATAATATCCAACATCGACGTTGATCAAGAATGGCTCGAGATAGAACAAAATCTTGGCCAAGTATTGCATCCCCGAGCTGTACGTACGGAGCGTCAGCGCTGGGAGCGGAGATGACGACGCGCTTGGCGCCACCGGTGATGTGAGCGGCAGCCTTCTCCTTGGTGGTGAAGACACCAGTGGACTCCACAACGTACTCGGCACCAGCCGAGCCCCAGGCGATTTCAGCAGGGTCCCTGTGAGAAATAAACGCGTTGCGTAAGTTCTTGTCACTGGAGACTGCTGAACATAATCTCAGAATCGTTTGGAGAGACTAGGATCGCACCTCTTCGCGAAGACCTTGACCTCCTTGCCGCCGAAGAGCAGGGTAGACTCATCCTTGACGGAGACATCGCCCTTCCACTGGCCGTGGACGGTATCGTACTTGAACATGTACACCATGTACTGCAAAGGAACATCGTAATTTGAGACATAGTCACCCTCGAGAAAGACATGGATCTTTTAAAATGAGAAACATTTATGTAAATGAGAGTAAATAACGAAACCTTCCAGACGTACAGTGGTGTCAATGAAGGGGTCGTTGATGGCAACCAGCTCCACATCATCGCGCTTGAGGATAGCCCTGGCGACGAGACGACCAATGCGGCCGAATCCTGAAACATGAAATTTCTATATCATGAGATTCATGATGGCTTGATGACTTGGACATTATCAAAAAGAGCCGCAGAAAAAAAACGCACCGTTAATGCCGATCTTGACGGGAGCTGAATCGTAGAAAGGGGGACAGATAGCACACAAGAAAAACAAATAAATTATCAGACTCATATTGACGATGAACCAAAAGTATGGAAAACGAAACTGGATCTACGCTTACCCATGGCTAGATGACGGAGTATGTTTTCGGGATCTGGCAGAGAGGACGCAAAACAATAGTAAAGAGAACGGCGGATGAGATTTTCTATGCCTGAGTAAAAGAAAACGGTAAGAATTATACTAACTACATACCTGAGACGCAAGTGGAAGCTGGCTGAGAGTATAGCAGAGTAAGCTTTACGTGCAGAAGCAGTAGTTGGTAAAATGAAGTTCCTGAAACTCTTTATGCACGACCAAGATGCCTGAAACAGACATTTCTTCCGCATGCCATTCCCATGCCACTAGCCATCACGGGAATCTGAGCTGTGCCCATTGTTTGGGGCAAACCCGGGAATGCGGGAGGAAGATCTTTTCTTCGTGCTGACGATGACGTGCCTCCTGGCCCAAAACGAGCCGCTATTACACGTGGCAGCGGCGCTGCTGGATGGGAGCTGGCGAGAGACTGCCCTGCCAATGCGACTTTTTCTTCCAGCATGGCACCAGCAAGGCCTAGTTTCACCAGCGTGGTCGCTCCAGAACACTAGATCTGCCCAACCAAAAGGTTGGGAAGTCCGAAACCTTTGGAAGGGGCTACCAAACTAGCCAGTTGGGTTAGGGGAATCTCCTCTGTGCAGCCATTGGTGGAGGAGGTGGTGCGGTTTTGGTTGATAGACCGAACACAAGAATTTGCCATTACTTGAAATAAGACATGATTCGGAGTGTTTTCCTTCTCAATACACAAACGAGGTATCTAATCACGAAGAAATGCAAAAACCCACCCGTCTGCGGAACACCTCCCTGCAGCACAGCCTGCTGGCTGGACATTCCGCACCGCGCGGACGTCCACCACTTCAAGCGGCTGAGGGATCCGCGACGCGAGAGAACAATTTTCGGCATTTCCCTCGCTTTTTCGCACCAGCAAGTTTCACCCAACAGCCGCTTTTCCCCTCATCTCTCACTCTCACCCGTCTTTTCAAACCGCACTTCCTTGGAACTCGAGCAAGAAACAGATAGCCAGGCACAAGACAGCACAGCGACTCTCTGCGCGGTCGGTCTAGCTCCAACATTCCCATCCCAGCGCAGGGACCAGCTTGACTGGACCCGCTTTCCGTAACAATTTCCGCTCTTTCCCCTTTGCAGCTTTGTTTGGCGGTCTGAATACCACATTCCAGAGCTCTGGTTCTCGCGCATCTCTCCGACGGTGATCGGGTTTCACGTGCGCGTGGCGACGAATAGCGTTTTCACCCCACCTTCGGGCTCAACCCGCTTGCCGTCCCAGTTCGGGTAGCGCGCTCATTTCTATTAGACTGCCAACTAGCTTCTTAGACTACTTGCGTTTCTGTGCCGACCTTGTTTCACCTTTTATAGAGCTCAGATCTAGTGCTGATGTAGTAGGATAAGCACCTCAGCTTCTGCAGCTGCGAGCAAGTCCAGCTCCTCCCAAAGTACTTAGTGTCAATTCGGTATAAGCCGCCCGTTCTGAAACTCCGACTTTTACGCATGTCCACTGGTTCTCGAGTTGGTTAGCGCCAGTTCGCCGCGGAACACTTGTCTTAAACGTTCCTTCGAGCCAATCAGATTCGCCGTAAAGCCCCGTAAAGTTGAACATTATGCCGCGAACGACTAAACATCATGCCGCCAGCGACGGCGCTTTGGCGCCGTTCCCGTAACCCCAAGCCTCATACGCAGTACCCATACTTGCGCATTTCCGTCAGAGCGACTTAACGCTTGGCGCTCGAACGATCATTCTAGGGTGAGACACTCAGACGATCCTGTTAGAAAGCCGCTCGGACGATTCTCGTCCAGTGAGGAGCTCGCACGCGTCTCTCTCGAATCGCGTAAAAGAATCTATTAGTTAGAAAACCAGAGGCTGGCTTCAGTCTGCTCGGTGGGAATTTAGCAGGTAGGAGCTGCTGATCAGTTTGTTCTTTGCGGAACACTAGGATTTCTACAAGATGGCTCAACCACTATCGCAGCTGTTTGTACCGGGGATAAGAGTATCGGCATCAGTACTATCAACTGAGAATCAACTGACGAGACGGCATCCCGGCGTACTCCGTAATCTTCGCCGCGATGACCGGAGCAGGGGCGCGCAGGCTTTGCGACGGCTTAATCTGGGTTCTTTTCTGGTTGCGCTAGCTCAAGCTACCCTTGCCATGCTAATAATTGCGTCGCTGCTGTGCGACAGCGTCGCAGCAGGAGCAGCGGCAGAGTCGCACGGTCAGATTTGGTCGCATGTTGACTCCCTCTCAAACCTTTCGCCGTCGTCGTCGTCGCCTGTTGCGACGTTTTCGCCGGAATCGATGTTAGCGTACGTGATGACTGGCGAGATTGGCGCGAATCCGCGACGGCTGCAGGTGAAGAAGAAGACACAGAAAGCGGCCGGCTGCGATTATCGCAAGGGCAGGTAGGCGAGAGTTACCAGTCTCGGCCAAATCGCCAATGGTATATCGCTTCGAATCAGCTGCTTCGAAATTTCTGGAAATTCCGAGAGTTCTGCCGATTTCTACATTCTTTCGTGCCCTAAACACACTCCCTCATCTTTCTAATAGTATCCCATGCGTCCCTGCCCTTCCCCCTCCCCTCCCCTTCCCCATTCCCCCTTCCCCTCCCATTCCCCCTCTCGCTTCCCCTTCCCCCCCTTCCCCATTCCTTCCTCTTTGGCTTCTTCCTCCCAAACCACCCTGGGCAGCTGGGTGCACATTTCGAAAATAGCCGGGTACAAGGTTCCGTACCCCCTAAACTGCTCGAAGCACTTCAGCTGCGCCAACGTGCCTCCGGGGAAGCAGCACCCCTCCAACTACGTCTGGGTGCCCGCGCCACCCTGCAACTACTACACGTGGAAGTGCGTGATTGGAGGGGTTTGATGAGGGAAGGAATGGGGATTCATGATGGGGTGTGTATTGGGGGAAAAAGGTTGATTGGGATGAAAGTTACCGTAGTAACGAGGGGCTGTTGTTACACTGCTTCATAGCATTGGTGTAATTACAAGAGTTTTAATTGGTGAGCACTCTAATTTTACACTTCAATCCGCATAATCCTTATAATCACGACCGCATGCCTCCTCCCTCCGCTGCCCCTGTTCCCCAGGTTCAATGGCAAACGATTTCTAAAGAAGATGCGAAACACTGTGATGGGCACTGCCGTTTGATCGCCCTCATCCCTTTCTTCGTTGTAATCACACTCGCGCACATCACTCTCTCTCCACCGGCCCCGCCCTCCAGGTTCAATGGCAAGCGGTTTCTAAAGAAGATGCGGAACACTGTGATGGCGTTTGTGGGTGACTCGTTAAACGACAACATGTACGAGGGTATCGTGTGCCTCCTGCAGGCAACAACTCGAGTAGTGGTGAGTTGCAACTATTAGTTTAATGTTATGTATTATAGTGAGGGTTTGTTTATGACTCACTAAATGACAACTTGTTCGAGGGTATCGTGTGCCTCCTGCAAGCAACAACTCGAGTAGTGGTGAGTTGCAACTATTAGTTTAATGTTATGTATTATAATGAGGGCTTGTTTGTGACTCACTAAATGACAACTTGTACGAGGGTATCGTGTGCCTCCTGCAAGCAACAACACGGGTAGTGGTGAGCAACTATTGAGTTTCATTTAATGCATTTACAAAGAAACCACACGAAGGCTCGGGTCATACTATGTGCACAGTTACAACCTTACCATTCCCTCCCATTCCTCCTCCCCTTCCCCTCTACCCCCCTATGATTTTTCTCCCTCTCACCCTCTCTTTCGTCCTCACACCAGTTCAAGAAAGTCAAGATTGGTAATCGGAGACTCGGGTCCTACTTCGTCCTGATTTACAACCTCACCACTCCCTCCTATTCCTCTCCCCTCCCCCATCCCTTCCATTGTCCTCCCTTCGCCCCTCTCCCCCTTCCTCACACCAGTTCAAGAAGGTCAGGATTGGAAATCGGAGACTTGGTTCCTACTTCGTCCCGAATTACAACCTCACTACTCTCACCATCAACAGCGGCTACCTGGTTCAGAGCCCTCGATATGTGAGTTTACTGAGGGTACTTTTATTGGATAGGTAGTGTACAGTACATCATACAACCTCAGTACTCTCAAAATCAAAAGCGGCTACCTGGTTCGGAGCCCACGATATGTGAGTGTAACGAGGGTGCAATCCACAGTTAGTCTTAAATTTCATTTATTGGGTGCATATTGTGCCACATGCCTTGAGCCAAATTACAACCTCACCACTCCCACCGTAAACAGTGGCTACCTGGTTAAGAGCTTACGATGTGTTCCCTCCCCAATTACCTCCAATTCTCTGCGATTTTCCCTCATTCTTCCCATCCTCCCCTCTCCCCTCACCATACTCTCCCCTCACCATACTCTCCCCTCACCATACTCTCCCCTCACCGTACTCTCCCCTCACCATACTCTTCCCCCGCAGACCACCAACCAAAAGACAGCAGTTTATTCAATGAGCCCTTAGTGGGCCCCACCTGCCCTGTATAACTCTCACCCCAATCTTTCCCATCCCCTTCCTGCATCCTCATCCCCCACAGACCGCCAATCACAAGACGGCAGTTTACACAATGAACCCCAAGTGGGCCACTCTGCTGCCTTACACCGACGCTACAGTGTTCAACGCCCCTCTCTCCATCCCTCCTCGCCCCCATCCCCCCTCCATTCTCCTCACCCCCCCACAGACCGCCAACCATAAATCGGCAGTGTACATAATGAACCCCGAGTGGGCCCCTCTCTCCATCCCTCCTGCCTTACACGGACGCCATTGTCTTGAATGCCCCCGTCCCCATGCTTCCTCTCCCCCGTGCTCAACCCCCCGCCTGCCCCTCGCACCATCCCTCGCTCCCACAGACCGCCAACCACAAGACAGCTGTCTACACAACGAACCCCGAGTGGGCCACTCTCCTCCCACCTCCATGCGGATATGCACAGCTCTTTCACATATCCGCATGCTCCCTCCTCCCCCATCCCTCGCTCCCGCAGACCGCCAACCACAAGACAGCGGTCTACACGATGAACCCCAAGTGGGCCACTCTCCTGCCCTTCCCCTCTATTACTCTTTTTCATTCCCCCATCCTTCCCCTCCCCATCCCACAGACCACCAACCACAAGACAGCGGTCTACACGATGAACCCCAAGTGGGCCACTCTCCTGCCCTTCCCCTCTATTACTCTTTTTCATTCCCCCATCCTTCCCCTCCCCATCCCACAGACCACCAACCACAAGACAGCGGTCTACACGATGAACCCCAAGTGGGCCACTCTCCTGCCCTTCCCCTCTATTACTCTTTTTCATTCCCCCATCCTTCCCCTCCCCATCCCACAGACCACCAACCACAAGACAGCGGTCTACACGATGAACCCCAAGTGGGCCACTCTGCTGCCTTACACCGACGCCATTGTGTTCAACGCGGGCCACTGGTTCTTCCACCCGGTGGGTCCCTGTGCTGGTGGATAGTAAAACGGCAATATTGCACCACGGATGCCCACCCTACCACTCTCCTCTCATACACGGACTGCATTGTGTTCCGTCAGCTTGCTATGAGCCTATGAGCTTGCTATGAGCCTATGAGCTTGCTATGAGCCTATGAGCTTGCTATGAGCCTATGAGCTTGCTATGAGCCTATGAGCTTGCTATGAGCCTATGAGCTTGCTATGAGCCTATGAGCTTGCTACGAGCCTATGAGCTTGCTATGAGCCTATGAGCTTGCTATGAGCCTATGAGCTTGCTATGAGCCTATGAGCTTGCTATGAGCCTATGAGCTTGCTATGAGCCTATGAGCTTGCTATGGGCCTATGAGCTTGCTATGAGCCTATGAGCTTGCTATGAGCCTATGAGCTTGCTATGAGCCTATGAGCTTGCTATGAGCCCATGAGCTTGCTATGAGCCTATGAGCTTGCTATGAGCCTATGAGCTTGCTATGAGCCTATGAGCTTGCTATGAGCCTATGAGCTTGCTATGAGCCTATGAGCTTGCTATGAGCCTATGAGCTTGCTATGAGCCTATGAGCTTGCTACGAGCCTATGAGCTTGCTATGAGCCTATGAGCTTGCTATGAGCCTATGAGCTTGCTATGAGCCTATGAGCTTGCTATGAGCCTATGAGCTTGCTATGAGCCTATGAGCTTGCTATGAGCCTATGAGCTTGCTATGAGCCTGTGAGCTTGCTATGAGCCTATGAGCTTGCTATGAGCCTATGAGCTTGCTATGAGCCTGTGAGCTTGCTATGAGCCTGTGAACTTGCTATGAGCCTATGAGCTTGCTATGAGCCTATGAGCTTGCTATGAGCCTATGAGCTTGCTATGAGCCTATGAGCTTGCTATGAGCCTATGAGCTTGCTATGAGCCTATGAGCTTGCTATGAGCCTATGAGCTTGCTATGAGCCTATGAGCTTGCTATGAGCCTATGAGCTTGCTATGAGCCTGTGAGCTTGCTATGAGCCTGTGAGCTTGCTATGAGCCTATGAGCTTGCTATGAGCCTATGAGCTTGCTATGAGCCTGTGAGCTTGCTATGAGCCTGTGAGCTTGCTATGAGCCTGTGAGCTTGCTATGAGCCTATGAGCTTGCTATGAGCCTATGAGCTTGCTATGAGCCTATGAGCTTGCTATGAGCCTATGAGCTTGCTATGAGCCTATGAGCTTGCTATGAGCCTATGAGCTTGCTATGAGCCTATGAGCTTGCTATGAGCCTATGAGCTTGCTCTCTTTCTCCCATCCTCACTCACCCGCTTCCCTCTTCCCATGCCACCCACACCCCCACCCACCCACAGCCCAAGGACCAAACCACTCCCTGGTACCCCATTCCAGTCATGAGCAAGACGCTGGTAACCGTGCGAGACTATTTCGCCAAGTCATCATACAAGGGAGCGGCCGTGTCCTCACCTTCTCTCCCTTGTATTTCTTCGTCCTCCCTCTCCTTCCTCCCCCACGCACAGCCCAAGGACCAAACCACTCCCTGGTACCCCATTCCAGTGATGAGCAAGGCGCTGGTAACCGTGCGGGATTATTTCGCCAAGGCGAACTACAAGGGTGCAGCTGTGTTCTTCACCTTCTCTCCCGTACACGAGAAGGGCTACTGCAACGCTGCTCAGCCGTTCCCGCCGAACGTGCAAGCAGACAATACGTTGATGAGCTTCATTCTACCAGCCATGAAGAAACAGGTACGTGGTTACCACTTTGTTACAACCTTGTTACAACTTTGTTACCACTTTGTTACCACTGTGCTAGTGGTAAACGATGGGGTCTATGGGCGGTTGGTGCGCCGAATATGCAAGCGGATAACACGTCGATGAGCTTCATATTGCCAGCCATGAAGAAGCAGGTGGGTTGGTGCTGGTAACCAGGTAACTGATGGGGTTACACTATTGTGTGCAAGCGGATAACACGTCGATGAGCTTCATATTGCCAGCCATGAAGAAACAGGTGGGTTGGTGCTGGTAACCAGGTAACTGATGGGGTTACACTATTGTGTGCAAGCGGATAACACCCTCGTGAGCTTCATCCTGCCTGAAATGAAGAAACAGGTGCGTGGTTACCACTTTGTAACCGGTAATTGTGAGGCCATGGCACAGTGGGGGGGGGGGGGTTTCCCCTTACAAAGGTAAGGCGGTAATGTAGCAATGTGCTAGCGGATAGCACGCTGATGAGGTTCATCGTACGTGCCATGAAGAAACAGGTGGGTGGTTACCACTTGGTTACCACTTGGTTACCACTTGGATACCACTTGGATACCATTGTGCAAGCAAGTGGTAATTGATGGGGTCTATGGACGGTGCGCCGAACGTGGAGGGGGGGGAATATGCTGATGAGCTTCAACCTCCCTGCCCTGAAGAAACAGGTGGGTGGTTACCACTTGGTTACCACTTGGTTACCACTTGGATACCACTTGGATACCACTGTGCAGCGGATAGCAGGCTGATGAGCTTCGTCCTCCCTGCCATGAAGAAACAGGCAAGTGGTCGTTGGCGGTGACTGGTGACTAACTGGCTGGTATTAAGTGACTGTTCTGTTGCCAAGCGTCCTTCAGGTGTTAATCCCTAATTCCAAATCCTCCTCTCCCTCCTCTCCTTCCCTCCTGACGCAATCCCATCAGATGAATTCTATGAAGCGGTCAACTATGAATTCTATGTAGCGGAGGTCACCTACATGAGCGCCATGCGCCCTGACGCCCACCTGGGGCTGAATGGTCGCAACTGCAGCCACTGGTGCCTGCCTGCCCGACGTGCCTCTCATGTCTCTTCCTGTGTCCCCTACCTGCCTGCCTACCTGCCTGCCTACCTGCCTGCCTACCTGCCTGCCTACCTGCCTGCCTACCTGCCTGCCTACCTGCCTGCCTACCTGCCTGACGTTACAGTCACCACTCACCTGTCCCCCTTTTCCCCTCTTGCATGCGCTCGTGCGCCGCTTCCTAGTCCGTGTGCCACGTGACTGTAACGAAAAGGTCAACTATGAAGGTAGCGGAAATCACCTACATGAGCACCATGCGACCTGACACCCACCTGTATCTGAATGGTCGCAACTGCAGCCACTGGTGCATGCTGGGTGTTCCTCACGTCTCTTCCTGTTTCCCTTCCCTGAATCCCTGTCCCCCTCGCTACCTGGACCCCTCCAGGTTACTGTAATGAAAAGGTCGACCATGAAAGTGGCAGAAATCACCTACCTGGGCGCCATGCGCCCTGACGCCCACATGGGGCTCACTCTTCCCTCCCTCTCTTGTCACTGCCACCCTGGCAATGCGTTGTCTCTCCCTCCGTACACCAGGTGACAGTGATGAAACGGTCGACCATGAAAGTGGCAGAGGTCACCTACCTGAGCGCCATGCGCCCTGACGCCCACCTGTTTCTGAACGGCCGCGACTGCAGCCACTGGTGCCTGCCGGGGGTGCCTGACGCTTGGTCCGATGTGCTGTATAACGTCCTGATGGGCGTGCGGAGGAACTTCGCATGAATGGGGGGGTTGAGCAGGGAGCAGCAGAGTAGGGGGGGTGCGTGTAGGGGGGGTGTGGGAGGGGCTGCACTGCAGCCACTGGTGCCTGCCGGGTGTGCCTGACGCTTGGTCTGCTGTGCTGTATAGCATCCTCATGGGCGTACGGAGGAACTTCACATGAGAGGGAGGGACATGAAGTGTGCAGGATAGACGGGGATGCATGAAAATTGGCCCGGATGTGCATCCTCGGGGAAATCTGATGGGCAACTGATCGACATACCGGAAATCTGGAAAACTTCACACGAGCAGGAGCGTGGGCATTGGTCCACCCTGATTTGCTCAGGGGTCGAGCGAGACTCCAGAGATTGCTCTTTTGTTTTCTTCTTCAGTTGCTTTGCTTTGCTTGCCGATCCAACTGTTCCTGTGCTTGGTGTCACTTTGTCACATGGTACATACAAACCAAGGATATATTGTATCTTCCTCGTCGCCACTGCTACGGTATGCTATGCAATAAATGCGAGGCTTTAATTCAGCAACCTCTTTTGCTCCTCCGCCGTACTTGATACAGTCAGATGGCTTGCAGACGCCTAAGTTCAATTCCATTGCGAGACACTGTCAAAAAAGTCTACCTACCTAATATTTTGTGTTGGGGTTCGAAGCCAACACTTTGCGCTCTACCTACAGGTACAGGTAGTAAAATCAACCAACCCAACCCAACCCAATCCCTCTACAAATCTTTGAATGGCAAGTGTTTCTTTGCCTTAATATAATCCTTCAATAACCTCTTCTCCTCGTCTATCCTCCTCCTCTCCTCCCTACTCGCCCCCACCTGCTCCCGCCTTTTCACATCCAGAATCCATTTCAAAACTTCCATCTGCCCGTCCAGGTCAATTTTCGACACCTGCCCGCCAGTATAAGCCACCCCAGGCACCCCAAACCCTTCCCCTGCACCACCACCAGCACCATCCCCCGTTACAGTCACACCTGCCGGCCCAACCATTGCCTCCATATCCCATGATTGCATCTCAGACGTTCGTTTGGGGCCTGAGGAGGAAGCTGCATGGGAAGCTTCCTCAGAACCGGTACCAGGAGCGACAGTGGTGGCGGTGGCAGGATCTTTAGCGGCTGTAGCGGCAGCAGTGCCAGTGCCAGCAGCACCAGTGGTAGCAGCACCAGTGCCAGCAGCAGCAGCTGCAGCGGGTGCTGGTGCTGTCTCATCCTTTTTGCGTTTCTTCTCGTCATCTGGGTCGATTGCGTCTGGCATTCGTGCTGCGTCTTTCAAAAGGGCCTTTCCTCTGAACAGCATGTAGCCTGGTGGGTTGTGGGAGAAGGGCAGGAAGAGTGGGAGAGAAGGAGAGTGAGTGAGAGAGGAAGGAGGAACAAGGGTATTGCACCTTTCAGAAGAGCCTTTCCTCTGAACAGCATGTAGCCTGGTGGGTAGTGGGGGGAGGACAGGAAGAGCAGGAGAGAGGGAGAGAGTGAGAGAAAGGAAGGAGGAGAATGTGTGTTGCAACTTCCAGCTACCCTTTCCTCTGACCAGCATGTAGCCTGGTCGATAATGGGGGAAGGGCAGGAAGAGCGTGAGAGATAGGAAGGAGGAGAATTTGTGTTGCATCTTCCAGCTACCCTTTCCTCTACACAGCATGTAGCCTGGTGGGTAGTGGGGGAAGGGCAGGGAGGGTGTGTGAGCAGGAATGTTGAAACGTCGCAAAATATTTGAAACGTCTCAAACCACGTACGTCCCAGCCCAGCACAAGGCTGAGGGCAGTCAGCACAAGGCTGAGGGCAGGCAGGAAACCCAAACGCTCCTCCCACGCGGTACAGCAAGGAGGAGAGCAAGGGGGAAGGGGGTAGCGGGGGGGAAGAGAAAGGGGAAGGGGGAACCCAATCAACTCAACCCAGCACGTACCTCCCAGCACGAGGTTGAGCGCGAGCAGGAAACTGAACGCCCCTCGCATGCGGTACAGCAGTGGGGAGGGGGGAGGAGGTGAGTAAGTGGGAAGGGGGAAGGGGTACGGGAAACAAGAGAAGGGGATTTACTACGTACCTCCCAGCACGAGGTTGAGCGCGAGCAGGAAACTGAACGCCCCTCGCATGCGGTACAGCAGTGGGGGGCGGGGAGCTCCCCCAGCTGCTGACCCGGGGGAAGCTCCCGCGGATCTGGGTCCTTGCCCAGATAGGGGCGTTGGCGGAGATGCGGGGGAGGAGAAGAGGGAGAAGATGCCCCAGGGGGAGGAGCGCGCGGGGAGGTCTGGGGGAGCTCTGGCTGCAGCTGCGGAGGGCGAGGGGGAGCGGGGGAAAGGGGGAAGAAGGGGAGAGAGCGGGAAAAAAGGGAGAAAGAAGAGGGGTTTTGTGTGTGGCGAGGGAAGGGAAAGGGGAGAATGAGCCGGAGCGGAGGGATTTCGAAAGAACAAGCATGCTTCTCTGGCTTGCGCAATGGCAAGACTGCCCCTCGCCTCGCAAAGTCAAGGCTGCTGGACTGCCGCGCACTTCGATTCCCCTCCATGCACCGCCGTAAGCTCGAGCTAAAAAGCTCTTAGACCCTCTTCACCTCCTTAGACCGCCCCTCGCCTCGACGGACCTCTCCTCACCTCTTTCGATCCCTTCTCACCTCGTTTGGCCGCTCCACACCACTTTCAGACCCTCCTCACCTTATTAGAACCCTCCTCACCTCCTGACGTTTCTCGCGCCTTCTTCGGGCGTCGCGTGAACAGCTTCAGACGGCCAGGCGTGCTGCCGCCCTGCGGATCCGCCATCGTACGCCGACTAACTTGCCGGCTAACTCGCACACCGACTAATTGCCCAAATAGCCGACCAACCAACCGATTTCTCCTAGATCCGCGTGAAGAATGCCCAGCAAAAAAGCCTCCTACAGCTTTTTTCCCTTCCTGCTCCCGTTTCTTTCCGGCTGACCTTCGCGTCTTGGCGATCAACGGGTAAAAATATCGAGACGAGCAAGCCTAAAGCTGGGCCTCGTAACGCGCTACCAAACCAAGGACGATCTTATTGAGGAGGATCGTAGCGGGGATGATAAGCCTCGGAACCTTCGACAGTGGAGGACGTTTTGGAAAGCAATCAGGGGCGCACGGAATTTGCCCAGGATGACTCGTACGGGTATGACGTGGCTTCCAGAAGTACACTCGAAAAAGTTTACCATTCAAGCAGCATTGCTTATACTTCAACGTGAGAATTACACCAAAGGCATAGAGCATAACCGGAACTTGGACTAGAATATACAGCAACCAAGCAGGACTAGTGTTGAGAAGCATTACTAGGATAGACTAAGCATTCACACTTAAGTAACAAATGTGTAGATCTGCACACAGATAATGCTGATAAAACATACTGGGCAATAGGAGTTTGCCTCCACTCTACACCTCACATGGAAGATGAACGTTGAGCTCGTTCATATCCTCTGACGCATGCAGGCGCAAATCATGCTCATTTGCCAAATGCAGCACACAGATAAAGCACAGGTGCACTGAAATGTCACTCAGTGCCGCAGCCCTGCAATTGGCCGGGAAATTATGGAGCACTCGATCGAAGCTGATCGGGCCGGAGGAGGATCCATCCTCGTCCTGCTGTTCCTCCCTCTCATAGGCATGGCGCCGTTGCAGCTCCACCCAGATAGTGTCTTTCAGAATCTTCACATCTACCTGCTTTGACTGTCTAGCATAGTTGACATCAATCTTCTGTGCCTGCCAAGTAAATTGTGCAAACAGCGACTGAGATGAGACCGTGGAGGCACACACAGAAGGATAACCAAAGATGGAAGGAGTGGATGGAAGCAGTGGAGATAAGGGAGGCAAAACCCACTCACATGCTGCAACGTCAGCAACATGCCAATCAGCAGTAGCTACAGAGAAAGCTTACAGAAAAGATACTGGAAGACCACCATGGGCAGCAGAAAAATGCAAGGATAGTGCTGAAAGTGAGTCTCACCTTCTTTGGCATGGGAACCAGATCATCCATGAAATCATCCACTGGCTTGACCTCTGCAGAATCCCCTTGCCCATGAAAGTCGTCCCCATAATCAAACGGATCAGCACACTCGTCCCCTCCCCACGCGTCCTCAAAAACGTCTTCACCGCCACCAACCGCTGCAAACCCATCCCCACCGCCTCCATCCTCAAACCCTTGCTTCACCCCACCTCGGCTCCTGGCCTTTCTAGCCAAGAAGCTCCAATCCAAGCTTATAAAAACCGTTGCCAACTTGCGCCCATCGTAATGGTAGTCCTTCGGAAGCAAGGTATTGACCACCTTGCGACCAGCCCTGGTCAACTGGATTTCCTTCAGCGCTTTAGGGGCTTGAAACAAGGACTCGTCAATCTGAGGGTCTGAGAAATCAATCAGCTCTGACTTTGCTGCCCTCTTCTTCCTCCCCTTCGTCTCAGCAGCTGCTGCAGGCGCCTCCTCCTTGGACTTAACAAAGTGCCAGTGCTTAGGGCCAGCCCACGCATTGCTCCCCTTGAGCCTCGACATGCCCATGCCTGCTGCCAGCCAATCCGCAGCGTTCATACCATCATCAACATCCGAATATCCGTTCTCCCCATCAGAATCCCCTGCCGGGATCATCCCAGGAGCATCAGCACCAGCAAACGGCGGGCCAGCGAACCCACACCCATCATCATTCCACCCATCTTCTCCACCACCGCCAAAATCGACCACAGAGCCATCGTCATTATCATCTCCAAACGAAAACCCTTCCCCCACCCCACCCACTGGCTCATCTCCCGCATCAAACGCCTTGAATCCCTCCGCGCTTCTAACAGCATTCCCATCCATGTCATGAGAGGAATCCTTGGCACTGGCGCCAACAGCTGCCTTCCAGCGGTGATCTTCAGCCAGCTCGTAGAGAGCAGAGATGGACGGAGTGATTTCCCAGCTCTCAGGGTCATCCGCGCTCAGTAGGAGCTCCACTTCGCCTGCCAGGCAGCAGCACAGATGTGACTGACGAATGATGGATTTGTCTACCCATAATGTTCGGCTATCGGAGCAGCACAGTTTTATTAGATGAAAGCACGACTGTCCACCAATGTGAAGCGAAATGTTTGGTGAGCACGCCAACACAAAAAGTGTTTGTCGCCAGCGGCCGTTAACTTGAGTCAATTTGATGGTCATGCAGTGAAACCAGGGGCGAAACACGAATCCCAAGCAGCGCCGACAGTGTGGTCATTGCAAACTTCTCTGGACATATGGGCGAGCAGAAACGAAACATCCACAGTAATAATCACATTGGGTTGCAGGAGATTTTGCACTCACGAGATGCAAAGGAGATATCCACGTACTCCTTCCCCTGTTCCTCCGGCTGCGTGCGAGAAGGGTCCACGATGATGGCTTCTGAATCGAACATGATCTCGCACCCGTTGAACACGGGGAGATTGTACAGGAGCAGGCCGCTTGCACCGCCCTCGTCGAATTGACCAGATGTTTTTGTGAAAAGCGGGTCCGTGACAATGGCACCTGAAGATCCACGAACATTGCACTAGGTCAATACAGACTGATTTGTAAAAATAAGTAAAAGGCGACCTGCATTTGGACTCACGCTCCAGCTTCTTGACGTTGATCTGGTCAAGATTATCCTCCAATGTGCTCGATGTCGCAGGCAACTGCATGAAGAAGTAAGCATGACAATTCAGAGATTACACAAGGAAGCATAAGACGAGTTAATCAAGGGGAGTCTGAATGCAAAGCGTTGTCGTGGAAAAGGACATCTCAGCATCCACCCGTTATGTCATTTCAAACATCCAAGAATAGACACAGCCACACTATTACTGATAGGGAAGTTCGTGTTACCTTCTTCTGAGACTCTCGTCGGCTGCCGTTGCCTTCTTCCTGGTCAACTCCTTCATCTTCTCCTGCACAAGCGGAGGGCCAAGGAGTCAGTGACAAGCAGCAGCAACCTACCGAGACGGACAGAAGAACGACGATTGCATGTCTCTTGCTTGAACATTCTAACGGTCGGCACACGTACGTGTATCGCCTGCCCGCGTCAGGCCACTGAGCACTTTGTATGTCTCGGAATGGATGGAGTCGACTCGGTACGAATAAATCTTCACGCCAGCCTCCAGTGTGCAGCTAGCCTGTAGCACGATGGATGATGGCAGGATATTGATTAGTATAATACCAAGGCGTCTGTTGAAGCGCCCAAGAATACACTTTTACATCAGCTTCAGGACGCAGCTAACCTGCCGCACGAAGGGAGTTTACTCTCAGTGAAGGATGGTGCCAGGAATAGGATGAGTAACGACCATTCAGCAAAATCAAGCAAAATCGAACCTTCTGAAAGTTGGTCTGCGTGTCATTTTCGCAGTCAGCCTTGACGATTTCCGACATGTGATCAATAAGATCAAGATCCCATGTGTTCTTCTGATTGATTTTCTGCACAGATCAATATGGGTACGGGATGTCAGCTTCGTTTACGCAATTTAGTAACTACTCTGGTCAGTACTCGTCGTCCTAATTAAGCAGCCGTGGTCAGCATGACTTCATTTTCCGAGGCCTTACATTCTCAGCTGCCAGCTTAGTGCAGTTCTGGTACAAGGCAAGGAGCCGATCTCCAGACATCTCTTGAGGATCGCAGCTAGAACGTTTCTTATTGGCTTCTTTCATTCGATCTGCGAATAACCTTCGCTGAGCTGCCTGTCGTTCCTCCCTAATCTTCCGCTTCTCCAGCTCGTCATCGTTGGCGCCAAACGGAACGAAGGCAGGCGATTTGGGATAGAGACTAGGAGACTTGAACATAATCGGGGCACCCTCACGCTGTACAGGAGACCGACCATCCATTTTTGCAACTGCTCTCTAATTCTTCTAATAAAATAACGTTGGAAGGAGAAGAGTCTCGGCAAGCCCTGAACGTGAAACGCTCGATAATGCCTACCACAAACCAAACAAACTAGAATCTAGGCCGAAGTAAACGGAGAAAACTCCAAGGCTGTGGGGAATGATCGTCGGTAGAAGACTCAGCCAGTTGTCGTCGGGCAGGGCGTAGGCACCACTTCAGGATGCTGGTGAGCGTTCACAGTGCACCTAAAAGAAACATTGGGTATTCCATCTCAAGACGAAGCCCAGAGAGGCGTACTGCAGCAGATTCCACTGTTATGGATTCGAGGGGGGAAGAGGCTTGTATGCCGCACAGTAACAAAGCGCACCGTACAGAACCGCTCAGTAAAGCTCCGCACGCTGAGAACCAGACTCCGCATGACAGGGGTTGGTTGGTGCTGGGATGGAGGGTTGAGCTTGATTGTACCGAGACGCGCAACCTGGTGCTGTTTATTGTCAGGGAGGCTTGGCGGGAAACACAGAGCTTGCCGCGTCAATTCAAAGGTGCAGCTTTACGTTAAACGCGTTACTGTACCGAGGCGATATACGTGCAGTACCATGTATAGTGTGAGGCTTCTCTGTAAAAATATATACACTGGCATAAAGTAAAGTCTCTCCAGCAACCCTTGTCGAATTTTTCGCTGAACCGCAATTCCACTTGCGGGACACTAGAGGTCCGTTTTCCAGAGCGTGCAAACATCTTCTGGCTGCGCAGCAGACCACGCCACCCGCCCCAGCCACTTCTCGTCAAACAAACTTCCCCAGCCCCATCCACAACACCACGTCAGCAGAACTAGCCTGGGCTTACAGCCACGTGTTTGACCGTTTTGACGACACATCAGAGCCACATCCCCTACTCCTTGGGATTGTCTCTCGTGCTGCGGGAAATCCATCCTCCAGCCTCGAGACTTGAGGACATTCTGTTTCCTTCGTTCCTCTCCTCTCCCGCCCCCTCTCTAGCCAGCAGCCTAGAAACCTACTAACTGTCACACTCATCCAACAATCCTTTCTTTTTTCTCCAAACTATCGTTAGGCCGTTGACGGCTACTGAGCTTCGATTACCGAAAGCTTGCACGCCGCCTTTCCTTAGCAGCTTCTCGTCGCTCGACTAGCCAATTGTCAACGGTCTAGTTTCTGTGCTCGCATAGAATCACCAAAATGGCGTCAGTCACGAAATTGACGACGTCAGTGCTTTCGAGCACTGTCCTCCCGGCGCTGCCCAAGGCATGCAATGTAAGGGGGCTTGCTGTGCTTTGTGACGATGTCTTATTTCCGTGTTCGACTTGTTCCTTCATTGATTTTTTACGATCACTTATGTTAAGACTCCCAGGGTTCCTCTCGATTCATTGACGTAGGGGTCCGGCAGCTGGTTTTCGCCCAGGTGTCTGCATTTTTAAGCGCTCAGTATGTTTATGAATAAAACCCCTTTTTCCAGGCTCGCGCTGCTCTTCCAGCGGCTGGATTTCCGCAGGGTCAGCTCCGCCTTCACCATAACCGCCTTAGGTATGTCGCAGTCGCCATTTGGCGTGCATTTCGGATAATCTTGCAGCGATATGAATTTGGGTATATTTTTCTTCTCATTTTCGCCACTTAGGAATATCAGAGCCTTGGTTTGTTTTATTGTCGTCCCACGTCAACGCTATAAGTTTTAGGTTATTGAATGTCACAGAATTCACAATTATTGATTCCACTGCAGTTGCGTTCAACATTCACCCTGCTTAATTGTTACTTTCCCTCTAATTGTGACTCCTACAATGTTCTTCCCATCCCTCATGTCTGGCTCCAGAAGACCTCGCCTGATTCGGCTCTATACGTCATCCCCTCTTCCCTCCACCCCTGCAGAGCCTCCTTCCAGAAGAGCCTTCATCTTCCCGTTTCCAACAGGGCGTTCCCCTGTGTGAGGGCCGTGAGCGTGGAGGGAGAGACCGTAGTGGAGGAGACGGTCGAGACTGTTCCCGAGAGCACCGATGCCGCCGCCGAGCAAGCTCCCGCTGCTGCTGCTGAGGAGAAGGAGAGGAAGGCGCGGCCTGGGGCTACCAGGAGGAGAAAGGTTACAGTCAACGTTGAGGACCTTCAGCCCGGCCAAGAGCTCACCGGCAAAGTTGTGAGTGCCCCTCTGTTCCTCGGCTCATTGGTTCGTGGTTCCCTGTCTCTCGGCTCATTCTTTGTGTAGGAATTTTGAGTTATAAGCGGCTAAACAAGCTTAATCAAATACATGCCCTTGTTACTTCCCGTGTTTGGGTCCGATCAGAAAATGGCTGTCCGTGTGTGGTACGCTTTTCGTGGATTTACTAAGTGTTTAAGATTCCGCGGTATCAGGGTTTTTCCGAGTGAATCTCACTGGTTGTTTCTTTTCCGTTCTCGTTCTGTTCTCCGTGTGCCCAGCGTTCGGTGAAGCCGTACGGAGCTTTCGTCGACATTGGCGCGTTCACCGATGGCCTCGTCCACATCTCCCAGCTCGCGGTAAGCATTAGCGGGACTTGAAAAAAAATCGGGTACGGAATAAAAGGTCTTGCAAATTACCGGGCGTAGGGCATGGTTATCTGCTATTTGCTGATGCCGTTTCCTCTTTTATAGCAGCTCAGATTTATGCCATGCACATTTTCAATAAGGGGTTCACGCGCATCCCTAGCTTATTAGTAGAGGTTGCGAAGCGCGTAGAAATCATGACCAAGAGATGTCGGAACTCGCCGCGAGACATGGCCTTGTAAGTTACGTTCGTCGTAGCGGTAAAATTTGCGGTTGATTGCCATTTCTGCCTTCGCTTCAGAACACCCTCAATGCCCCTTCTTTCGCACACTTCTTTCGCCGCAGACGGGTTTCGTGAATAAGGTGGAGGATGTGGTAACCGTCGGCCAGGAGGTTGTAGTGCGAGTGATCGAGGCCAGCAAGGAGTCTGGCCGCATCGCGCTCACCATGCGCGACCCGGAGGCGGAGCGCGTGGCGGCGGAAGAGACGGCGGCAGTGGATGCTGAGCGGAAGGCGTCGGCGCAGCAGCGGCGCCAGTCAGCGGGGGGCGCGGAGGGGGACGCGCCCGAGCGCAAGGTCGCGGGAAGGGGGCGCAGGCAGCAGCGGGAGGATCAGAAGCCGACGCATAACTACAAGAAGGGGCAGAAGGTGAAGGGCGTGGTGAAGAACCTGACCTCGTACGGATGCTTCGTGGAGCTCGAGGGCAAGGTTGAGGGCCTCCTTCACGCCTCCGAGATCGCCCCTGGGGGTAAGCAAAGTTCTCTTAAATGCACATGGAATAACACTGCACATGGTGTTTACAAGGAATACACCTAGAATAACTGTACCTTCTTGCGCCCCTTCTCCCCCCCTAACCCTCCAGGCGACATGGTGCCTGTGGAGTCGCTGGTGTCGGTGGGCCAGGAGCTCGAGGTCACAATCGCCAAGGTTACTCTCTGAATATCTTTAATAAACAAATAAATAACCGTTTTACGTTTTCTCCCCTCCCCCCTCTTCCCTACCCCTCCAGGCGACATGGTGCCTGTGGAGTCGCTGGTGTCGGTGGGTCAGGAGCTCGAGGTCACAATCGCCAAGGTTGAGGTGAGTCCTTCAGGCTGACGCGTAACGCGTTACAGTGGAACGAGGGGGGGAAAGGGTGGGAGGGAAGGGGATTGGCTGTATAAGGTGGTGCTACTTGTAAGGTGGTGCTGTTCCCGACCAATTGTAAGGGGTGCGTTGGTATGGAGACTTGATTTCTTCTGGAAGTTTTGATACGTGCCACTTAAGTGTCAGTTCGTTCACATAGTTGCCGTTCTTCTCGGCCCTCGCCTCTGCTTTTCTAGGAAAGTGAAGCTTTACAACTCAACGGAGCCTGTTATTTATGGCAGCAGTTGATCTGTTGTAGGCGCTTCTATTTATTAACTAAATCTTTTTTCCTGCCTTTTTCACTTCCTCTGTGTCTGTGGCATTGTCGTGAGCAGAAGAACCGAATCAGCCTCACAATGAAGGAAGAGGTCGATGTAAGTAGTCTCGTGGTCTTCCACTTCCTCCACCTTCTCCCCCTCGTGCGATTCGTTTTGCCTGTGATGCCCGTGCAAGACTTTTTATCCACCTGATTACGCTTTTTTTTCCGAGTATCCCTAGTGCGAGTCGTTTTGCCAGTCTGCTGTAGTTTCCCCTCTCCTACCCCCTTCCGCCTGCCCTAACCCCTGTATCTCCCCCATTCCTCTTCCTTCCCCATCCTCAGGTGACCCTCTTCAATGAAACCAGCCCTCAGGACGAGGAGCTGCGCGCGCTGAACCCCTTCGAGGCGGCCTTCCGCCGCGCCAACCTCGTCACTGACGCCCCCCGCCGCGCCTCTGCTGCCGCGGAGGCTGAGGAGGAGATTCTGCTGCTGGAGAAGAAGGACAAGTCGGGCGAGGAGATGGAGACGGTAGAGACAGTGGCGGAGGTAGTAGAGGAGGCAGACGAGAAGGCTGCAGAGGCAGTGGCTGCTGCCGTGGAGGAGGAGGCAGCAAAGGAGGAGAAGGTGGAGGAGGAGGCGGCTCCTGTGCCTCTTGAGGCTGTTGCTGCTGCTGAGCCTGCTGCGGCTTCGGCTGTTGCGGAAGCAGCGGAGGCTGTGGTGGTGGCGGATATCCCGGCTGTGGAAGAGAAGAAGGAGGAGGCTGCTCCTGCTCCTGCCGCCACCCCCGCAGCAGGTAGCAGTGAGTAGTGTAGCAAAGGGGAGCGTAGGCGAGTTGGGGAGGGGGGGTGGGGGGAGAATAGGGAGGGAAGGGGTAGGGTGCTGAAGGGCGGGC